ACCAGTTTGCTACTACTGAATGGAAGTAAAAGACAAAAATTTCCCCAATTACAGTATGGAGGCTCTCTATAAAAAATTCCCCTGAAGGTCACATCAGCCCCAATTAAATTCATCCTAGTCTATTTAAAAAACTGCTTTTCAGCTATTAAATGAATCTTGGTGGTCTCCCCATTTAATCATTTTAATGGACATAGTAAAACTTCCTAAGTAAGAAATACCAGATGTATTTTCTTTAAAAACAAACCTAAGTGACCCTACTATGAAGTCATACTTTTGAATGAGTGATTTCAGTGACAGATTCCAAACCCATAGACTTAATAATACCCACATGACTGAAAAACCACCCCATTGCTTCTCCAAAGCTCACAGCTGGAATACCACAACTAAAGTCGACCCCCAAATGTCCATGCAGTTAAGACACTCACCCACTGACACTGGGATCTTAACTTGTTTGAAGTGCTTTAGACAGCAAATGTAGAGTTCTTCATGATATTTCCAAGTCCTTTTCCATCTGAGTTCCTCCAACACATACAGGCCCACCCAGATAATTTTCCACTGGCCAAGAGTCGAGCTGACTATGACACTTGGCAGTTCTGTGAAGCTTTTCCAAAAGGTGGCCATCAGGGTAAGAAAGTGACCTCTCCTAAGCGCTCTTGTGTCTGTTGCAGACCTTTTCAAAGGGCAGCAGAACAGGCAGCCCTCCTTGTTGTTTTCTCCAAGGCTCATGTAGCAGAAAACTGGCTGCCTGTGTGTGTCATGTGGGCTGTGATTAGAGTATAACCTTACAAAAATAAAACATCAAAAACTTTGGTTTTGCTCTTTACAATTTGTGTTAGCACTGGCTGACAAGATGGGTTTGTTAATTTACAGAAACTCTGCTCATGAAACGTGGAACTGGAAGAAAAATGGTTTATTTCTAGGTCTTGTTTTGAAAGGATTGTCAAAGAGCCTACTTGCTTTTCCCCATTAGACACTAGCATTGGTTTCCAGAATACTTCTCTATAGACTGTTCTTATTAGGTTTTAGAGAGAGGAGAGGTCTTTTCAGGTATCAACATGGTGAAAGCAGCATTCAGGTGGGTTGTTTCTAAACTGTAAGTCTTGGTCACGAAATGCCCTCAATTTACTGTACCTGTATCAGAACGCAGCAATTGACACTGGTGAGTCAGATTCTCAGTTAAAAACACAGAAGGAATCAGAATTCAATGACAGTATTTGACAGACTAGCTCCTTCACTAACTCATCTACAGAAGCAACATCAAAAAGCAAGCATGAAACCTGTCAAGTGCCCCATTTGTGAAGCAGAATAAGAAGTCATATAGTTACTGAATCAGCAAGCTGACTTTCCTGATGCCCTCAGACCAGGTTCCATTTTATAGCAGATGGGAAAATCAGCTTTCTGATCCACCTCCTAGAGCTCACAATGGGTACCAAGGTAGGTTTCCAAAAGGATGACTTCCCCTGCAATGAGTTGCTTGTTTGCCCTGCCAGCAATTTCACCTAAGTGCATCAGCAGTGTTTCTAGATTTAGAAATCATTTTGTTCACATTAGATAGCTGACATGAAAACATTAACTTCTGCTGCGGACAAAGAAAGGGGGAGCTATGATGGGGCTTGGGCATGTGTGCGTGAAACAGACTTCTGTTTTTGAAACAAATATTACTTGTTTGCCCTAGACTGAAATGTTCATGGATAGCTGAGAGAACATTTTTTCAGGTTTCTACAGAGATATTTGTTGACTGAACCATGAAGGATATTTTCAGGTCTAGAGAACACAGCCTAAAGAGCTCCTTGCTGTTTACTTGATGAAACATTTGATGTCACAGTGTGATTTTTGGCTGTAGGACATCAATGCTTGTTTGTCTGGTCACTCCAATAAGTATCCTGATGGCCAGTCCATTTAATCATATATGCCCTTCTTATGCCTGTTTCCTAGGAAGAAATACAGCCTTCTTTAAATTCCAAATTTCCTTCTTTAGTTCAATTCTCCTTGTCCTCAAAAACAGTATAAAAAGGAATTGCAGGTGGTTTTTTCTTTCCTCTGTTGGTGCTATACAAAAGTTTGCATCTCCTTAATTACCTGCTACTGACACCACTGCCACATGAGACAGCAGATTGATCACAACTTTCCAAGTAATATGGTTACCCTGCTCTGGCAATGAATGGGCCCATTCTTATTTCGAGGAGTCCAGCGTGGATGCAAGCATGAGTACAAGCAAAATGTGAAGATAAAGTTCACTTGACTGTGAAAGGGACTATTAATATAATATCAGGTTAAACTGCAAAGATAGCATCTCAGAAACTGTCACATTTGACTAGTCAGCAGTCCAGTTAAGACAAAACCCCCTTCCCCCCAACAAATGGGAACAAAGATAATTTTTAACCCCCCATACATACACTCAAGTCACCCATCTCTTCCTCTCATGCTCTAAGATTTTCAAAAGTGACCTTTTCAGTTGTACTTTACAAAGTATGTTCTTGACTTCTGCAAAGATTTTTAGCATGAAACTCTCACAACTACCCTCTCTGTATTGCTGATCAACCCTGTTTGTTCCACATGACTAACAATTTAAAATGTTCTTTGCTAGACCATTTCTTTAAGGTTCCAAATAGGGTTCACTGCAAGTTCTAGACTAGAGGCTCTCAACCCTAGCTTCACATTAGAATCCTTGAGGATCTACAACAAAACATGGCAGCCAGGCACCAACCTACTGAATCTGAATCTCTGAGGGTAGGGCTCTGTTCAGTATTTGTAAAAATTGGCCAAGTAATCTTAATGTGCAGCCAGGCATGAGAACCTGTACTCTAGAGCTTTTGACTGCTGAAATGCCACCCCTCAACCCAGAACAAACATGTTTCTATGATGACTTGGGATTACTCTCTTGGGGGATCTTTCTTTAGATGGCTGCACCATTACTTAGCAGTTTCGACCTGATTTCTGCCGGACTGGCAGCAAATACTCGGCCTTGAGTGAAGAGGTTTCGGCCTTTGTGGCACACTACTTTTTTGTCACTCAGTACAGGCAGGATACTTCTGAGAGGTGGAAGTTTTTTGATGAGTGAACTCACTTCCCAGGACCCCTGGTAAAGTCAGGATTAATCTCCACATCTTGCAAACAAAAATTAGGACCACAGGTCAGTGACTCAATGATTCACTGAATGAAAAATCTAACCAAATAACTACAAATCTAGCTAAGTTTTAGTCTCAGCAAATCTCTGTTTATTTATATTTAAGCAGGTTAGAATAAAATGTTTGCAGTGGAGAGGACAAAGCCCATGGAGGACCATAAAATCAAAATAGACTTTAGATACAAAGGAAAGAAGGGAATAAAAATGATTCATTTATATTATGTTGAATCATATGAAACTGCCATTTCTGTTTTCTTAAATGGTCGAAAATCAGCAATTTCATATGACTCAGCCTAATAACAAATTTTTCCTGGTTTGCACAATTTATCAATTCAAAAAGTGTCAAGCAATGTCTTATTTAAAAATTATGTCAGCTAAAAAGATTAAATGATTGATTTCATTATGAGTGTCCTAGACTGAACTGGGCCACTATTTTGTCTGACATAATAAGAAAAATTACCACATTTTATGAAAGCATTTTTTTTTAGAAATTGGGTTTTCAAATAGGCTATCACTGAAGCATAGGAAGAATTGCTAGCCTAGTTTCTAAGAGTTTTCTCAGTATTTCACTACTACAGGTATGGGCAGGTGAAACAGCTCATCCAGAAAGAACCCAAACTCTTGATAAAAACCTAAATTTTAAACCACACTTACACATTAAGTTGGTATAAGGCCCCCCAGATACCATGAAAATGGCCCTTCTCTACATGGCATTCAATGTCAAGATATCCAGACTCTCAAGCTGTCTACTATAGTCGACAGAACCTTCCAACCTTCCACCAGGTTGAATAATGCTTAACTTTCCATTGACTCACCTCTGATTCCTCATGTGGCCACTGAAATCTCATGCATTTATGAATTCAAAATTCAGAATACTACTCAGTCATTAGAATACTGTCTTGTATTTTCTTTGCAGTTAATTTTGTTTGCAGTGAGATTTCTTCCCTCTGAATACTAGCCTGTTGCCTCTGAGGCTTCTTGCTGCTTTCTCTTTCATAGATAAGACTGCATTCCACAAATTATGGTGTTATTTCTAAAGTCACAGTAGAACCCAATCCTATTCATTATTTCCCAGGCAGTCAGCTCATATGGAATACCTTGAGAACTTATAGATTTTTGCAGTGATATCACCATCAGTTTCTAAACAGTTTTTCCTGTCCTCAGATTAGTTAAAAACAACAGTATAACACTATTTTGCCTTTGGTTTCAAACATTCCAGTAACTTCTTCCTTATGGAGATTTCCAGAGAAGGAATTGGAATTCATTCCTCCATGTTGAAATGTTCATGGACATATTTTCCAGTCTTCAGTCTAAAAGAAACACAGGGAGTCAAAAAGGGGCAGGAATCCTGATAGGAGGGTGCAGTCACACAACCTCGTTGCTGGAGCCTCCAGTCAAATTGCTTTCTCATGTTTTCTGTCCATTTAACATCAGTTGCTCACAGTCCTTGGAGGTCCAATAGCAACTGTCATCCTTCACAATCTTAGCCTGTTCTCCCTTTGTATGCCCACAGCCAATGAAACCTACACTGCTGTGTCTGGATAAGAAGCCTCTCCTGGGAGGAATCCCCAGCACCTGCCACACCTTGTTCAGATCTGCAGGTGAATGAATGAAGACAGCGTTAAAGCATGCTATTTGTTTAACTCTGAACAGCGCACTACAATGTGAAAAAAGTGGGAATAGGTCTGCATTTGCCTTGATTTAGAGACACTTTCACCCCACCAGCTGCATCTTGGCTGAAATTTTAAATGTTAAGATATCTTTTAGACCCCAATAAAACAGAAGTGTTAGTTCCATTCAGTCAAGGCCCCACCTCAACAATGCTGGGGCTTGCAGCCATCCTCACCCCGCCAGTGGGTCCTCCCCAACCCCATCACTCAGGGCTCTGGGCAGGAAGGCGCACATTATCCTCCAAGGGGAACACCAGGCGGGTGCCCCGGCTGGAAACCTTTTGGTCTCCTATTCCCAGGTCTCGTTCCAGCACCTCCTCAGAGCTGCTCTTCATTCTCCGACCACCCTCAAGGCTCATGGAGGCCGTGTGGGACCCTGAGGAGCCATTCGCAGTCACTGCGCTATCCCCGAAGGTCAAGGTGAGGTCGCCCTCGGTCAGGATGAAATCAGAGTCTTCCTCTCTCAGTGGCTCCTGGTTCTGAAAAGTGCAGCAAACAACAGCAACATCATCAACCACATCAACCACAAATGGGAGACCAATATCTTCCCCGGCCAAAGCCAGCCCCAACTCCTTAATCTGAAAATGGGGATCATAAAACTGGCCTGCCTTGAGCCTCTAGTGTGATAACTGGGTGTAAACTCTAGAGTGCTAGTCCATATAAGACTATTGCTGAACCAGGACTTTGAAGACCAGTGAGCAGTTCTGATTTTAAATGCCTGATAGCATAGGGACAAAAAGTAACAAAAGGGAAGAAAAGGTGATTAGCCTGGATCTTCAGCCTCTCTTGTGGCTCAGTGGTGAAGAATTCTCCTGCAATGCAGGAGATGCGAGTTTGATCCCTGGGTTGGGAAAAATCCCCTGAAGAAGGGAATGGCAACTCACTCCAGCATTCTTGCCTGGAGAATCACATGGACAGAGGAGCCTGGTAGGCTACAGTCCATGGGGTCGTAAAAGAGTCAGACATGACTGAGAGACCAACACTTTCACTTTCAAGCCAACAAGAAACAAATGGGTAAGGTCCTCGGGTGAACCTGCAAATTAGATTTTGGGCCTTCTCTTTTCTGGGAAAATATTCTGGGAGGTGGGGTGGGCTCCTGCTCTACACAAACCATCCTAAACCCATCCGGTTTACATTTGAATTGCTCTTTGTCCTACTAAGCAATTGAGGAAGAGGTTGAGCCATAATTATCATTTCCTTCCCATCCCCACAGAAACATCCTAATGGGAAGGAAGCCCTCAGGTAGATGAAGTGAGGAACTGAGAGGGAGGGGACGTTTTCTTGAGCATCTATTGTCCTCCTGTCACAAATGTCACAGAAGCTCTCATTTGATCCCTGCCCCTTCCCTGTGAAGGGCACACACACTGAGGTCACAGAGAAGAAAATTGGAGAGACCCCATGGGATCTGCCTGAGGTTGTCCAGCTGCTTGGAAACAGAGTTAGGATTTATACTGCCACTAGACGGGTTCTCCCCACAAAAAGGATGTGAAAAATTACCCCATTGGGGAACAGGACTGGCAGGCATCTCATGCTAAGCAGTGGTGATAACAGAACAGACAAAGCTGAGTAAAGCAGGCTAAATTAGCCAAGTAGCAGCCACTTGAAACTACAAGACTACAGGGAGAGCGTCAGGAAGCTGCATGGGGTCAGACACAACCTTTCACCCTCTGGATGGTTTTACAAGCAAAGTGAGGAGTGGTTCACTCCCTGCACTGCCGCCCACCCCCCAACCCCCCTGAAAGGCTGTCAAATACTGGGAACATCTTCCTTAAATGGCAAACACATGATTCCAAGCTGCTCCAGGTAAATGGTTCTTTCTTTCCTATTTCCGACCTACCTTCAAAGCACATCAGAAATCCTTTGTCCTCTACCTGAGAGGGTCTCCCTGGTGCAGGATGCTGAATCTGCCTCCCTGACAGCCATGTGGTCCCCACTCAGACAGAGGTTCAGTCACACTCCCATGTTCAGGCCTGGGATCCTCATCTCTGTGAGTAACCACCAAACAGTACTGACCTCCCTCCTCTTTCTGGTACCTTTCCTTGAGCTGCTGACCTCATAGGAAAGTGAAAAGTGTTAGTCACTCAGTTCTGTCTGACTCTCTGTGACTCGATAGATTCCCTGGTGGCTAAGAGGTAAAGAATTTGCCTGCAACGCAGGAGACCTGGGTCCGATCCCTGAGTTGGGAAGATCCCCTGGAGATGTGAATGGCTACCCACTCCAGTATTCTTGCCTGTAAAATTTCATGGACAGAGTCGTCTGGCAGGCTACAGTCCATGGGGACACAAAGAGTTGGACACAACTGAGCATGTCACTCTGTGACTCAATGGACTATATTCCATGAGGTTCCTCCATCCAGATAAGAATAATGGAGTTGGTTGCCATTCTCTTCCCCCAGGTATCTTCCCAACCCAGGGACTGAACCCACGTCTCCTGCATTGCAAGCAGATTCTTTACCATCTGAGCCACCAGGACTTCATAGGAGATGCCTGTTAAATGCACTGGCCCAGGGAAGACCCTTGGGTTCTGCCTGCCTCACCTCTCCTATCCTGGCCCATCTCTGGGCATGTACTGGTGACAAGCACATGCTTGTTTTCTGCATTCTTACTGACATTGGGTTCTCCACTCTCCACAGCATCACTCCACTTAACCAGGGCTTTTAACAGGCAAGCACACAAGTCCTCTTGCCTTCTGCCTCCAATCCTCACTGGAATGAGGCAGGGTACAAATGTACAGTTCAATAAAAATCCTCTAGTCAGGCAGAGTATAATTCTAAAACTCACTCTAACCCACCCCATTCTCCCATCTCCATTAGTTGTTCAGAAATTCCTGAAACCCCATCTGCTCTGTGATGGTTTTCTTAACAACAGATGGCATCATGTTCCCTGCTTTTAGCATGCTCCATGTCTCCCATTCATCCACATGCTAAGTACTGTTTTTGTTTATCTCTGTCAAAATCTCTCTCCCAGCCTCCTTAGCTCCCAGTGTTCAGGAGGAGACTCTCCTGGCACATATTTTGCTGTTTTGAGGTTTGGAGTCATGTGTGGACAGAGAGGAATACAGACAAAACAACTGCGTGCACAGGGAATTCCACAAATGGAGCTAAGCCACCCCCTCAGCAGCACGGACTTCCTCAATGGGAGCCCCAGGACAGCCCACTCTGACCCCTCACAGTGGGAAGCAGGGCCAAAGTTCACAGACATGAGGAAACAAGACTGGATGGTGACCCATTCCACAACGAAACCCACAAGCCCAGACAAACAGTACCCTGGGAATGGTCACTCAGAAACAGGGATACAGTAAAAGCCAGTGGAGAAGGATTTCCAGATTGATGCTTAAGGAATGTTCTATGCAGATGATAAAACCATCCCACCCCCTCTAATTCCAGACGACAGGATCAACAAATTTTTGTTCAGCTGAGGTTTGGGTTTCCAGTGAGGGCTGCTCTGGAAATGTGATGAAATAACCCTGCAGACACCTGCAAGCAAGAGTGTTGTGGGAATGTGTGAATTTAAATAGTCACAGGTGGTGCTAGCGGTAAAGAACCTACTTGCCAACGCAGGAGATGAAAGAGACATGGGTTCGATCCCTGGGTCAGGAAGATCCCCTCGAGGGGAGTATGGCAACCCACTCCAGTATTCTTGCCTGGAGAGTCCATGGTATTCTGGTGGGATTCTGGTGAGCCTGGTGGGCTACAGTCCATGGGGTCACAAATAGTCGGACATAGATGAAGCAACTTACCACACGTGCACATTTTCATTAAGTGGAAGAACACTGTTTTCTAGGCGGTTCTCAAACCTAAATTTTGTTTAGAGTGAGGGCAAATAAGGAATAATGAACACCATCCATATCTCCCAAAGAACCCTGGTGAAGTATAAAGTGTCCTACAGGTGATGGGGGAGGGCTACCCAACAGTGTGTCAAACAGTCAAAAGAATGGCTCATCTGAGGCCCTCAGTCAGTACTCCACTCCACTCTGTCACCTCTGACTTTCTGAGTTAAAATTCCAAAGACTTTCTGCTCTCACTTTCTCAGCAGCAGGCCTCTCCATGTCCAGAGCTGAGACCCCAGTCAGGACCCCAGCTCCATGCAGTAGAGGCAGTATGGAGGGTGGTTCTAGCCTGCAGAGCAAGTCACCTCATCTTGGGTTGGCTGTAGGGAGTCCACAGCCCAAACATGACCCCAGGAAGCAAACCTTGGGTAGAATCTTGAAGTGGTGAGGGGAGCACTTTCAATTTAAGTGCCTGGAAGTATATGGAGTTTACTCTGAGGCAATAGCTGGTAAGTTTCCAATTAGATAAGATGTATATAAAGTTTTAATAGTTGGTGAGTTATTTTACTATTATAGAGACATGAAAAGTGACCCTTGTAAAAACTAAGAAAGAATGAAGGCTTTAGAAATTGCTTAAAAGACACTAGAATTGGAAGGCCAAGACACAAGGAAGCCCAATGAAACAAAATCAGTGTGATCAGTCAGAGCTTCTTCAGCAGAAGAGATCAGGACATCAAGTCACTGCCCTTTGTTTCTGAAGACAGAACACATCCAAATGACCCACGCTGTCACTTTACACAGAGGTCCAGACTGAGCAAAGTATTCCACACTCAAATAAAAGATTTATTAAATAAAATGGGGTGGTAAATCATAAAACTAACTTTTTAATCTATTGGTCTGTACCCTTCCAACATAAAAGATAATTAGCATTATTATCTAGGCTCATATTCCGTTAAAAACTCACCACAAGCATTAAAAATCACTTTACAAAACCACAGGGAAATGGTACTCTCAGCATCCGATCCATATATTTTTTTTTTGTAATTTAAAAGCAGTTTATCAGAGGTGGCACAGGAATTTCATTTTTATATGAGGAGGGGCTGGGGAAGCTGGAAGGCTCAACTGTCTTTGGTGAAGGAGACATTGATGCCATTCTCTGCCATGTTTGGTGGCAACTGAAAGCAAAGGCCATGGCAAAGCTGCAGTATTACCATGGCAACTCGGCCATGCTGTACTTACCTCATATACCTGGGGACTGGTTAGACATTGAGCGAGCAAGCCACACCAGGCTGGAAGAGTGGTGGTTAATGGGGGGCCACTGTGCGTGAGGATGGGCTTCAAGTAACTTTTAAAAATACAGTTAAGGAAAACTGCCTGTAAAGAGAACACACACCCAACAAAATGTGTTCAGAAATCCCAAGGAATAAATCATCTGGTATTCTACCCCTCTTCCCCCCATTTTACCAGTACAATACAGAAAGTATGGTACTTGTAGTCTGCAAACATCTGAATCCAAGAATAAACTATACCCCATCACCCTTAAGTGTTAACTGTTAACTTTCACGTTGCCAGTTCCCCATTTTCAGTTAAAAAGAATACTTGATTAAAATACCTTTCTCTCTTCTTTGTTATGGTGAATGAGAATTTTGGTTTTGATCAACCTTCCAGCTTTTGACACACAACCAGCTCATGTTTACAGCACCTGGGTCCCCTTTGCTCAGAGATCACACAGTGGAAATGTTCGAGGTGGACAGGAACTTAAGAGGACAAGACAAAATGGCTTCATGAAGGTCACTCAGACCTCAATCTCCCACCTTCCCATACTGGACTATTCTTCCTCTACCTGCTGCCTCTCTCCCAGACTCTCTCAACAGTTTCTCCACCTTGATATTACTGGCATCATGGGCCAGATCACCTTTGCTGTGGAGACTGTCCTGCATTGTAGGATGACCAGCAGCATCTCTGGCCTCTACTCACTAGATGCCAGGAGCACCCCCAACCCCTCCCTCAGGTGTAACTACAAAAATGTCTCCTGACATTGCCCAATGTCCCCCGAGAAGAAAACTTGTCCTCGATTGAGCCCCCTGCTCTAACACAAAGGTCAACTGTTCTGTGGAGATTGGCTCAGGGTTTACCAACCTATGGATATGTGTGCTGCCAAATGCATAGTCCTGTGTTGGAAGCACTGTGGAGTGTGTATCACTTTATGATGGAAGTGGGACCATTTCTGATATCCCCAGTGTAAGCAATGGGAAAAGGTGGAGACCAACAGGATCACTTCAGATACAGGAATGGCCAAGAGACTTTAAAGGCAGATGGGGAGTCACAGCTGTACTCAAGAGCATGACTGCTCTGAGCACCAGCAATTCCTGTCTTCATTCAGAGCAGCGTGAGAGAAAAAACAATGCTCTACCAGAGGAGATGGAAGGGCGACCCTGGGGTAAACTTCCAGCTGGGAATTACTCACCAAAGGAAGATGTGTGGGGTCTGCTGGGATTCTTTATAAACAGAACAAGCTCTCTTTGCCTGCTCTCCTCATTCCTAGAAAGAGCCCCTTTAGGCCTATCAGTTTTTTTGTGTCTTCAGCTCAGAAGCTGACATTGGCTGGAATCGCAGAATGACTAATACAAGAGTCCCAGAGAAGCTGGAGGCTGCCTTTCCTGTCTCGAGCAGTTCAAAGACAAGCTGCCTCTTCCCAAACATAAAAGGCCCTCTAACAAGTTTTTTTAAAAGGAGAAAAATATCTACAGACAGATTTTAAATATTCAAGTTGTTGGAAGGGCAAAAATGAAATATCAAACCTCTCTTCCACCCTGTCTTTCTGGCAATTGACCATTACAACTTTACAGAATACATTTTTTGCCTATTTCCTGATTTATGCACTATAGTCAGAAGCATTTAAGAAGGATGGTAAATTTAATTCATTTACATTTCTGCTTCTTTTCAATTTTTCCCTAATTTTTATTATAATTAATTTTATACTTTAGATATTTAACATTTGTGCTCTGTAACTAATAAGCAAATCTCTGCTTTGTCTGTGGATTGAGCCTAATGTTAATGACCAATAAGTAGCACTTATAATAATGCAATTTATGAATATTATTCACTATAACCAAGCAGAGTGGTTGGGACAGTATTAAAGTAAATGTAATACAATGTCATTTAAACTCTGTCAGAAGTGAAAATTTGAGTGTCCTGCAAAAAAAAAAATCTTTTAAAATTTCTTTTTGATTTTATTTCTTCGGGGTTATAACAAATCACTTCTTCTTCAATGGCGTCCCCTTAGTTGTATATTGTTTTGTTTAATACTTATGTTACTTTTCCCCCTTCTCCCAGAGGCTTCATGGTGCCAAACTTTCTGAATTCTTGCATGTTTGAAAGCCACCGTTCTTTTTTATTTTTGATTAATAGTTTGGGTGTAGAATTCTAAGCTCAGAAAAATTTTTTTCATCCTAGAACTTTCATTTTGTTGATGGTTTCCCTTCTTGTGCATAAATTTTTTAAATTTTATGTAGTCCACATTTATTTTTGTTTTTGCTCCCTGTGCTCTTGATGTCAAAGACAAAAAAAAAAAATCAGTGCCAAGATCAATGTCAAGGAGCTTTTCCCCTTTGTTTTCATCTAGGAGTTTTATGGATTAAGGTATTACATTTAAGTCTTTTAATCATTTTAAGTTGATTTTTGTGAGTTGTATAAGATGAAGTCCAGGTTCATTCTTTCACATGTGGATATCCAGTTTTCCCAACACCAATTATTGAAGAGGCTGCCCTATTCCCATTGTGTATCCTTGCCTTGTTGTTCTTGCAAGGGTTTATTTCTGGGCTTCTTATTCTGTTCCCTTGATCTGTGTGTCTATTTTTATGTCATTGCCATACTTTTTTGATTACTATACCTTTGTAATGTAATTTGAGATCAGGAAGTGTGATGCCTCCATCTTTGTTCTTTTCCCTCGAAATTGCTTTAGCTCTTCAGGGTCTTCTGTGGCTCCATACAAATTTTAGGATGGTTTTCCAATGAAAAATGCCATCAGTTTTGACAGAGATTGTACTGAACCTGAGGTTACTTTGGGTAGTACAGATATTTTAACAATATTAATTCTTCTAATTCATGAACACAGGCGTCTTTCCATTTACTTGTGTCTTCTTCAATTTCTTTCATCAATGTTCTTTAATTTTCAGTATATAGATCTTTACCTCCTTGGTTAAATTTATTGCTAAGCATTTTATTGTTTTTGATGTTACTGTAATGGAATTGTTTTCTTAATTTCTTTTTTGGATAGTTCATTATTAGTATATAGAAATGCAATTGATCTTTGTATGCTGATAATATCTCCTGCAACTTTAATGATTTACTTTAAAAACTTTAAACAGTTTCTTGATAGAATCTTTAGGGTTTTCTATATATGAGATCATGTCATCTGCAGAGACAATTTTACTTCTTCCTTTCTGATTTGTATGCATTTTATTTCTTTTTCTTGCTTAACTGCCCTGGTTAGAATTACCAGTACTGTGTTGAATAGATGTGGCAAGAATACATACCCTTGCCTTGTTCCAGATCTGAGAGGAAAAGCTTTCAGCTTTTCACCACTAAGTATGATGTTAGCTGTGGATATGCCTTTGCTATTGTTGTTTAGTCGCTAAGTTGTGTCCGACTCTTTGTGACCCCATGGACTATAGCCTATCAGGCTCCTCTGTCCATGGGATTTTCCAGGCAAGAACACTGGAATGGGTTGCCCTTTCCTTCTCCTGGGGATCTTCCCCACCCAGGGATCCAACCCACGTCTCCTGCATTGGCAGGCAGGTTCTTTACCACTGAGCCACAGGGAAGTCCCAATGGCATGAGAGGAACTGGTAATTTTGTGTTTTGTGACCTGTTTGGTAATAGATGAGTGTACCTATTTTGTAATAACTCACTGAGCACTTATGATTTGTGTACTTTACTATATGTATCCTTTATGTCAATACAAAATTTTAAACATTTTCAAAATCTGCAAAGACCATATATAAGCAACCTACCCCTTTGATCACTATGTCAATTTAAGAAACAATGAAGGTATAACTTTTTGGTTTTTAATTCTCACCTGGGGCCAAGATAATCTACTAGAATAGTCTGCCCTGCATGTAGTCCAATGAAGGCAGGATCAGACTTGGCCAGATTTGGTTCAGCCAATAGGAATAATCCTTCCCACATGAATTACCTGGCCAACCTCCATTTCCATTCTTGACCACAGCATGGTTCAAGTGTAATTTTAACTAATTTACCTACATAGGCATATTTCCCTTGGACGCAAAGCTCTGTAAAGCCACGTGAGTCTACCAGGCTATGGGCTGGCTACCCTAATGATGTGCATGTCCCTCTTGGCTAGAGAGATGCTCGTTATGACTGCCTATGATTGAATGACCATTGCATGTGTCCCAAGAGAGGACTGGGTGCATCTGTAGCAAGCACACATCTTTCCTTACTCATCAGAAGTCATTCACTGACAACCCAACAAGAGAATTTCATCATCAGTGTTTCACAAATACAGGGAAGCCCCTTAAAAAGGATACTTGTGGTCAAAGCTGTACCACAGCCTGAATAGCCACGCACTCTCCTGCTTTGTTCGGTTTCCTCTGGCAGAATCTGAACCATCCTAGGAACAAACAAGAAGACAGATATTTAGTTGCAGAAAGGAGGTTGAAATAAGGAGGAAAGCTTCCCTTTTAACCACAGTCTTTAGAGATTTGAGCTCAGAGTCAAACCTCCTGTATCACCAAAATTTCAAAGATATATCGGGAGGTAATATTTTAACACATTATTGATCAGAGATGTATTAACATTATAGACATTAGTTTCTGCAAAAATCCCCCAGTCAATAATGTGTTAAAAGAAACTGAATAAATCCAAAGGTAGACCAATCAATCCCCCAAAAAAAGGCTTGGTTATGTCTGGGGGTTAGATCAACTCAATGCAGCACACACTTTCTTTTGGCATTTTTTACTGTAATTTTCCTCAGAGTGCCTTTTGGCAGATTAATTACCCTAAAGTAGTCTAGATCCTAACAGGTAAAAATTAATTTTTAGAGAATACCAAAGAAAGCATCTGTAAAACCAACTTTCCAGGCTCCTCACCCCCCCCCAAGCTGGCCTAGAGAAATCACACAGTTGAGTTTCCTAACAAACCAATCAAGGGTTCTTGGTGGTCATTACCCAGCCATGCAACTGCATTGTGTTCCAAGCAGTCAGTAACTTGCCCTACCAGCTTTAGGAAGGCAAAGGTGATGGGCAGGGAAAAGGGAGCCAGAACCAGCATTTCTGTTATTTTCTCTGCCCTCAAGTAGTACCTTCCTTTACTATTCTTCTCATGTCTTTCCAACTCAAACATCCCCATCATTTCATTTTCAAAAGAACTGGCAAAAATCAAACATTCTTTTAAGGTTTAGGAAATCTGTTCTGTGCAAGTATTATAAGCAGCACAGTTAATATTAAAAAGTGGACTGATGGCAGAAATCTGAGGGCACTTCTAGGGTTCCATGTTGCTAAACGACAAGCTCTAGAAAGTATAGGCTGCTTGTGAAACGTAGCCATCTTTACCATCTTCCTCTTGACTGTTCTAGGGGCAGGCAGCTCTACAAGTAAGGGGCAACGGACAACAACCAAATAAAAATTGAGTCACAATTTCAAGTATGTATCAACAGTTCTAAATCTCAGTGGGTGTCACCTGTAGTAACAGATGCCAAGGATGAGTCAAAAATTTCTGAGAAGGTAAGATATACACAAGTAGAGGCAGAGAAGTTAGCAAGCACTATTTACATTCCTAAAGTTTCCAACGGCCAAGATGACTTTTAAAACAGAGTCCCCCATGGTATTTGAGGAATGTTTAATAACCTATATCTGGAGAAGGGCATGGCAACCCACTCCAATATTCTTGGCTAGAGAATCCCATGGACAGAGGAGCCTGGTGGGCTACAGTCCATAGGGTCGCAAAGAGTCGGACATGACTGAAGTGACTTAACACAGTAACCAATATGGAAATGGCTCAGTTAAATGGGCCCTTCTGTGGATGAGGAAACAAAAAGGAGAGACCCTAGAGACCAATTTTATTTCACATTTTAATAAATTATGCGGGGGAAAGGGGGCACAGAATGTCTCCATTTACAGATAATGATCATTTCTTCAGCTAACTAATTGCTAGTCCAATAACAACGCTAGAGGTATCTCATAATACCACATGATTGAGTGGAAAAGTGGGAGATGACCATTTTGAGAGATGACTGTTTTACAAAGAAATTAAATGCTTATTTATCAAGTGACAGGCTCTAAGTTCTTGGCTCTGTCTGTAGAATCTTACTAAAGACAAATCTAGCAAGATGATAAACATCTTCCTGAAGGATGCTATAAACCATCAGGCATAAGGCAAGTTCCCGAAAGTCAGTTTTGTTTGCTCTCCCACTAAAACAACAATAAAAATGGAAAACCCCTATTCTGTTATCCTAACCTCTGCACTGTCAAACCACAATGCATTCTCATCACCTGTAACACTTAAGTTCTTGCCATCTCACCTCAAGGAAGCTAAATAAGCCCCAAGAGGGACAATGAAAATGAGCAAAGTAAGGGAAAGGTTTATTTCTGAAGGCAAATTAAGCAAATTTTTCCTTGGCCTACAAATCGATATGCCTGCAGTCCACAAATAAGATAAAGTGACTTCAGAAATGTAAGACACTAAGAATCAACCCTGAAAGGTTACAAATTCAGGGCAAATAAAAGGTGCAGCTCTGCAACAGGGGTGTTAAACACCTCTCATTCTAAGAGAAGGGACCAGAAGCATGATTATGGACAGGAGGAATTTGGATTCTTCCCCAAAGCCTCTGGGGAAATCAGGGAGGATCTGTGTGGAACAGGACTGATTTAAGTTGACCCAGAAGATAGCCAACAATTGTTTCCCAGCAAGATTTGGGTGGTGACCATGGACAAACTGGTGAGCCCTTGCTGTGGGCTCTGAGCCAGGGTCGGTATGGGTGCAGGTGATCCTAAAATATGCAGGGACTTGCTCTCACACCACATCCTCCTCAAAACCTCCATCCCCACCAGCAAACAAATACCACCAGCTCTGCTTATCACCAAATTGTTGAGCATAAAACTATATGTGGCTTTTCTCCTGCATTCATTAAGCATCTATTGTGTGCCAGGCACCACGCTGACTGCTGCCAAACACAAAGAGGAATGAGACCCCACACCGGCCACTTGAGAAGCACATTTCCAGAGGAGGAGACAGACAGACCTATGTGTGTGTGGTAAAGAAAAAGAAAGCAGGTTAAAGACCTGGGCAGTGGCCAAAGGTCCTATTTTGAAATAATTTTTCTAGAATTAATGAATAATGATTTCTGGGAAGAGTTATATTTCATTCCATTCTTATGGTTAAAGATATATATTTTTATGTTAAGGTCACTATAATAATAAGAAGAGCTTATTTTTTTTTCAGAGAGGTAGTAGAATACTGCCCTTCCCCTCAAAGATTTCTACATCCTAATCCCGGGAGCCTGAGTGTATTATGTTACTTGACAAAAGGGTCTTTGTGGATGGACTTCAGGTTTTCCAGGTAGGCCCAGTATAAACACATGGACCTTGATAAGTGGGTGGGGTCGGGGGGGGGCGGCGGCGGCAAGATAGTGAGAGAGATGTGGTGAGGGAAGAGGCAGGAGAGGTTCAGAGCATGACAGGGGCTTGCCCTGCTGGTGCTGGCTTTGAGGGTGGAGAGGCCAAGAGTCAGGAAATGTGGGTACTTCTAGAAGCTGAGCTTGATTCCCGGCCAATGGCCAGCAAGGAAACAGGTCACAGGGACCTCAGTCCTACAAGTACGTGGAAGTGAATTCTACCAGCAACCTGAATGAGCCTGGTGATGGCTTCTCCCCCAGAGCCCAACCCCACAGACACCTTGATTTTGGCATTGAGAAACCTGAAGGAGGAAAGCCAGTAGAGCTTACCAGACTTCTGACTCACAAATCTATAGGACTGTGTTGTTTTAAACCACTGAGTTTGTGGTAATTTGTTATAGCAGTGATAGCACACTAATGCAAAGCTAGAGTACATAGTTGATGATGATGGGGGCCAAGATTTCTCAGAAGGGGTAACAAAGGGTTTAAAAACAGGAAATTAAGTGCTCAATTTTGGCCACCTGATGTAAAGAGCCAACTCACTGGAAAAGACCCTGATGATGGGTAAGACTGAGGGCAGGAGGAAAAGGGGATGACAAGAGGATGAAATGGTTGGATGGCATCATCAACTCAAGGGACATGAGTCTGAGCAAACTCCGGGGGACAGTGAAGGACAGGGAAGCCTGGCATGCTGCAGTTCATGGGGTGGCAGAGTCAGACACGACTGAGCAACTGAACAACAAAATGCCCTACACTGCCTCCACCAGGGCTTCTCAAACTGTAAACTGCACACAAACTTCCTGGGCCCTCTGCTAAAATGAAGATTCTGATTCTGTGGGTCTAGATATGGCCTGAGAGTCTGCATTTCTAACAAGCTCTCTGGTGATGCCCAGGTTGCCATCCATGGGTACACTCGGAACAATGGGGAGAGGCCTGTGGTACCTTGTGGAGAAGCAGACAAGACCCTCTATGATCTCTCCACCCTCATCCTTCATCACACTGTCACCAAGCCCTTAAGGAGAACGATTCATCTGTCTTGTTTGCAGATGTACTCCCAGAGCCTGAAAGAATGTCTGAAATATAACAGATGCTCAATAAATATGTGTCAAATGAATGAATAAATCAAGTTTTAACTTCTAAGGAAAAAAAAGAAAGGGAATCCGGGGGCCATGATGGGAGGCAATCAAAAAAAAAAAAAGCATCATGGGGAAAGGGGTCAGAGAATAGTAATCTGAGCAAAGGCACTTGAGCAACTGTTTTGAAGTTAAAGATGTAAGGGCCTGGCTATCAGATTTCAGCCTGGAAGGAAGCTAGGGGAAGGACCCAGAAACAAACAAATCCAACTTGCCCAGAAAGGTATATGTCAGTGCAACAGCTAAGTTTTTGCAGTTTTTAGTCACACACACACACACACACACACACACACACACAGACACACAGAGGCACCACAAACATAGCAGTTTCCCTTCCTCCACATTCCACTAATATCCTGCTTGTGACCTTGTCCTGTGGAGATGACAGGCGGGATACATTCAGATTCGTGCTCCGAGCTACTCCACATCAGCCGCATCAATGAGCATGCTTTCGTAAACTCGGGGAAGGAAATGAATGGTGTGTCTGCCTGTCTGGCCAACATAAATCTCAGCTGTGTCTGGCATAAAACATCCCCTCTTGAATGGGTTGGGAGGCCATCCCCAGGCCCAGGCAGCTTGCCTCCAGCTGGGCTTGTTTTTGTTTTGGTTGCAAAGTCACCAAGACCTCCGGAGAAACAAGGCAACAGTGTTTTTTGTTTTGTTTTGTTCTAATGAGTCAAACTTGCCAGGGACATGAAGCTGAAGTCTATCCACAATATTCTTATGCTTCCCTCACCCAGAGCCAAAAATTCTGGCCAACAGCTCCCTTCCTTCACCCACATGAGCTAATATTCTTTGGTTCTGTAGCCATGACTCTGTTTATAACCTCAGGCTTGTAGCACTGGTGAGGAAAATGGTGCTCCTTATAAAAAGTGCTTTCCCATCAAATAGCACTTTTTTGTTTGCATGTTTGTTCATTTAGCAAGATCATTTAGAAATGAGGTAAAGAGAAGTGCCCTTTCTTTTCTAATGGGGAAAAAACATCTGGACTTTCCCAATCTCTGATTTCAGTTTCATGACAACACTGAGCATGTGACCTGGATCCAGTTCAGGGGAAGCTGTGAGAACCCAGGGTTTCACCCAAAAATGAGAAGCCCATTTACTTCTCTGTTTTACGGGTTTCTCATGACCACTGAGTGCTCCCAGCCCTATTGTTAATGGCTTATTGGAGCAAGAAGGTCAGGCCAGGAGGACGTGGAGAAATGAGGCCCTTTCTGCACAAAGGCATGAGTCATTTTTCAGAAGGTGACCTGAGAAACCAAGCTTGAAGTTCACCTTTTTTCTCCCCATCTGACAGAAAAACTCAAAATGCCAACAGACCTGCCTTTTAGGGCCTTTTGCATAATATGTATGAGGCTTAGAAGGCAGCCAGTTAAAGGGAAGGTGTGACACAGCTCCTGACTAAGGCCAGCTGAGGGGGCACCCCTGGGAGTACAGCAGAAGTGACTGTCACATGTGTGGTCAAAACTGGCCCAAAGGATGGCTTCCTAGGCTCACCCTGCCCGGGGCTGGGGGTGCTATCTTAGCTATCACCGCATGGACTAAATGCACTGCCAAAACCCTTAGCACTTAGGATACACTGCTTTTTAAACATTTCCACAGCAAGTCTGTTATTAAGTCTAGCTACAATCCCAGTGTCTCTGAGAGATACAGTAAGTTCAGCTACATGGAACCAATCAAACCATTTCACGTATTTCCTTTGATGGATGCTTAAGTCCAGAGGCAGGAGCAATTGAAAATAGCAAAAGGGCTAGCGGGGGACGGGGGGTAAGGGTGTTGACTGGTTTGGAACTGTCAAGATGAAATTGCCCTAAGCCCTTGCTATCTAGCTGGTAGTGACCTGCTTTTCTTACAAAATTAATCTTGACTAGCCACAGGTCTAGGCAGGATGTGCTGTATCCTACCACAGCCATTACTTTCCTTTCAGTGAAATGAGGATGTCTATTACGGATTTCACCCAGCTTTCCTCAGATCCAAGTTTGGAGATACCCAAACTGTTAGATTCTAAGTTAGCTGCAAGAGGCACAGTTCCTGAACTCCTACTTTCTAAAGTCCTTAAAGTGAAAGTGAAAGCATTAGTTGCTCAGTTGTGTCCAACTCTTTGTGACCCTATGAACTGTAGCCTGCCAGGCTCCTCTGTCCATGGGATTTCCCAGACAAGAATATTGGAGTGGGTCACCATGCCCTCCTCCAGGGGATCTTCCTGACGCAGGTATTGAACCCCCGTCTCCTGCACTGCAGGGAGATTCTTTACCATCTGAACCACCAGGGACTTAAAGCTCTAGTCAAATAGCAACTTTTCCAAAGGAACTTCTCATTGGAACCACCACATGTTCCCAAGTGGCACAATGGCCTATTCTAAGATAGTCACAAAGGTCTTCTGGAGCACCATTAAAGTGGGCACCAAATCTCCAATGAACCTCACTGAAAGTTTATCCCAAATGCCTAGAACTTTCAGAGGTCCCTTATAGGGCCTCAACTGAAAACTGGCCCATCAGGCTATGACTACCCTCACAGAGAAATACCTCAGAGAAAGCTGTGGTGGCACCCCTGGGCCCAACACAGCACCACATTTTGTGAGACTTGTTAAAATCTGATGTGGTTGCTGGAGTCATTTAGAAGATCCTAGGGAATCTAAGATATGCAAACTGGATTTGGGATTAACTGCAATGGTGAGTGTGATTCAAAGCTGACTGGAAGAAAAGAAACACTTGATATGTGATGATACATGCACATGGTCAACAGAGCTTCCCACACCCTGTGCCACTCTTGCTCCCCAATCTTCCCATCAAATACCAATCAAGGCCCCCATGGGGCAGGCACTGTGCTCAGCACTGGGTATTCAACACTGAACAAAATAGTTCTTCATTCCCCAGGCCAAAGAAAAACATTTTGGAAGCAACTTTCTACTCCTATCATAATTTCCCTTTCCCCCACCATGCCTGGCCAGGAAATGCTGGCCTGGGAAAGGGGCAAAACCTGGAGGCAGAATCACCCCCACCAGGCCTACAACAGGGGTGATACTCCACCTCTGCTTCCCTGAGCATGCGCCTCCAGACCCATTGCCTCTCTTGCATCTGGCACCACCCGGGTGCCTGCTGCCATTGACTTGGCCTCTGGAATTTCGAACCATGAGTTCCCATTCCCATATCCAAAAAGCACATTCCTGTGTCCCATGGAACCTTTAACCACAGGGTACTCTTCCAAAGTGTCCAATGAAAGGCAGGGGGGCAGTGTTGCTGGGTAGTTTCCTCCAGCTTTAGAACATGACTGCCACTTCACTGATGCTTGTTCCATCCAGAGGGGATGGGCTCTATCTCTTTCCGCTGAATCTGGGCTGGCTTGAGCAACTCGTAACCAAGAAAAAGTTCTGAAAGTGATGTTGTATGACTCCCAAGGTTAGGCCACAAAAGGCCACAAAGCTTCTACCTCACTTGCTGGGACATGGGCTTTTGGAAGCCTGAGCCATCAGGTAAGAAGTCCCACACCCTGAGGCCAAGGAAAAGCCATCACAGGCATCCTGCTCACCAGTCCTAGTCTGTGTCCTCCAACCCAGGTACCAGACGCAAGAGCAAACTAGCCTTTGGAAGATTCTAGCCCTCAGCTGTTGACTGACCCCAGCTTTTTTCATGGAGCACACGCATGCTGTCTCCACTATACCCTTTGCAAATTCCTGACCTAGACAATGCATGTGGATGAGAAATTGTTTTCCACTTTCCCACGTTTGGGGCACCTTGTGATGCTGCAAGAGTAACTGGAGCCAATTGCAAAACCAATGGCCAGCCTACGCCTCTACCCCCTCCCCCAGCACAGTCTCCATCAGGATTCTCTGCAGCAGCAGGAACTCTTCCCTGTATCACATGAGATAAAACACAGGGCTCTTGCCCTCACTGCTTCTATAACCTCCCTCCTCGGCACTCTGCTCCAGGCTGTCACTGCTGCCACTGCCTCACCCAAGCCTTAACTGTTAGTCTTACTGCAAACTTCACTGTCTATGGGGCTGAGGGCTGCGGCTCTGCTACTGTGGGACCATGGAGGCTGCCAGACCCTGGAGGAGCAGGAGGGCCAGCCGCCACCCAGCATCCCTTCTCTCTGGCTCATGCTCCCTGGACTGGAAAATCGATCCCATCCTTCTACTTCCCAGAACAAGCTACCATGAGCCAATTGCCAATGTATCCATGTATCCATTTTTGGAAGGGGAGAGTCAGGTTAAATGCTCTTTTTGGCCCCTTAATATGTTGTTTGAGAACAGGGACTCTGGAGTCAAATCCTGGCTCCATCATTTTCTAATTGTCTGACCACAGAGACACACTTTAACTCTCAAACTTCAACTTCTAATCTGTAAACTGGGCATAACAGTTCCTACTTCATAAAGTTGTTCTCAAGATCACAATGAGGGAATCCATGTAAACTGCTTGGCATGTAGCAAATGCTCAAATAAATTCTAGCTATTTTTAATAACACCTTCCCACGAAGAAGCATCTTTTGTGACTTACCCCTTGTAAGACTTGGAAGCTGTCATTGTTGGGTGGTGGGTCTTGGTCTGGGTCAACACCAACTCTGTAAGTCATCAGGGAGAAAGACAAGGAGAGAAAAACATAGAGTGTTAGCTTGGACCATGGCAGCCAGGCCAGTTGAAAGCAGCTAAGAGGCTGACCACCTTCCCAAGGTGGAAGGAGTGGTTAGCTAAAAGAAGGGGAAGGCTGTCATGCAGAAAGTTATGAGAAAGTAGTCGTACCACCCAGGGGTAGGCTGGGCAATTGATCTGTATGCTAAAACCTTAAGCAAGACTTCTGGGGAACGATACAAGCAGGAAACTGTCTGTCTGCCTTTTTGCACCAGACGGTCCTAGGTAATCAAAGGCGGGTCCTGCCTCTTCCTGTCTGCTGCTTCCTCCCTTCCACCTGACCTGAGAACTCACAATTTGAGATCAATAACCAAAGACAGAAAGAAAAAGCAAGGTGGCAAAATCCACTAATAATGAATTCCATGAAAGCACTAGGGTTGTTTTCTTGGCAGCAACATACCAACTATTGCTCTATGTATCTGTTGATTCTTTATCCCTGAAACTTCCTCATTTTAAGGCAGAGAACAGTAGTACTGATTACATTGATAATATGGGGGCAATGGAGGAGAAAACAAAGATGCCAGGAAACAGTCCTGGAATCCAGGAAACGGAACTGGAGTTCACTTCTCCCTCCAGTACTGCAAAGAATGTGTGCTCAATCACTAAGTTGTGTCCGACTCTTTGTGACCCCACAGACTGTAGCCCACCAGGCTCCTCTGTCCATGGGATTTCCCAGGCAAGAATACTGGAGTGGGTTGCCATTTCCTCCTCCAGGGGCTTCCCAGGTGGCTCAGGTAAAGAATCGCCTGGCAATACAGGAGACACAGGAGACGTGGGTTTGATCCCTGGGTCTGGAGGATCCCCTGGAGGAGGAATTGCAAAGAATGGCTGGTATCATAAAAGGAATACAAGAAACACAGCTTTCAGCACATCTGATTGGAGTTTGAAGAGAGCTGCCAAATGGCCCTGACCAGGGGTTTTATTTGCAGTCTGGAACCAGGGCGCTGACTGCGATAAACAGACAGTAGATATGCAAAGCCCCATGTGTGCCTTATTTTCTCTCCTCTCCCTCCCATTTCTCCACCTGTGATGCCCAGGATAGATCTTGAGAAATGAGACTAATTCAAAGAAGGTACAGAAGACAACATAGATGTACCCTTTTCTCAAAGGCAACCTCTACCCTGCCTTATTCCAGGCTTGCTGAGCACTAGGCCAAGGTTTGTGCCCCCAGGTGGAGGCGGGAAGGTACAGAAGGAAAGGGAACCGTTACCCCACATTTTGCTGAAGGCAAAGTTTAAAAACTACAAGATGAATTCAAGTATTCAGCGAATATTTACTGAGTGCCTACAATGCCAGATCTTAATCTGAGCACTTAGTTAAAACCTGTAATGTACCTGGCACCAGATTTCCTCCCTGGGGACCTGAAGTTTGATGGGCTTTTGGTAGTGAGTTAAATGGACTCTGTTTTGTCTAGAGGCCGCTTTCTGAGGCCTGGAGGCTTGGCCTCACAGTTGGACATTAGCCAGGGACTTTTGAGCATCAAACCTTTCAGAGACTTTTGGACGTGAAATTAATCCAATTCTGAGGCACCAGGGCTAGCTACCCACAGAGGTCACACGAGAGAGCATCAATGTGCCTGAAGAGTCTGACATGCCAGAGGAGAGGTCACACTGGATTCCTAGCTGTCGATCTTTAACCCTCACCATTTTTGAGGGTCTCTTAATGTATGTTTCATAGAGAAAAGTCATCTAAATGGCGTTAGCATCTGTAAGATCAACAGCTAAGAGTCCAATATTAGGCCTTGTTCTGTGGATTCTGTTGGTGAATGGAGCCACTTCATGGCAGACTCATTTACTTAGATGAGTTCCCTAGTAAAGATTCAGAGAGGGGCAGAACATGGGTTACCAGTAGTCTGTCTTCCAGACAGCCTTCCAGAATGCTCAGTGACACGGCAGCCCTCTGCCTAACCACGGACAGGCTATTGTGGAGGCAGGAGCATCAGAAGTTCAGACCCACCCAGATCGTCTCTCCTTTCTTGACCATGAATTCTGAAACAGGTGTATTAGCCTTTGTAAGTGGCTTCCACACCAGTAAAGATAGAACAAATGGATTTTATCAGCCTAGATGAAATAGGAAGCCTCTGGGTATGAGAAAAGGGCTAAGTGTGCCTTGTCCTACAATGAAGAAAACAAAGCCACACATAATAAAAGCTGCCAGATGAAATCTAGCCACCTCGATTCTTTCCACTAACCTATTCTAGGAGAAGAGAACTAAAATAAATTCTGCTTAACAAGAACTGCTTATAAAGACTAGTGTTAGTTGCTGAGTTGTGGCCAACTCTTTACAATCCCAAGAATCATAGCCCACCAGGCTCCTCTGTCCATGGAATTCTCTAGGCAAGAATACTGGAGTGGGTTGCCGTGCTATCCTCCAGGGGATCTTCCTGACCCAGTGATCGAACCCTGGTCTTCTGCATTGCAGGCAGACTCTTTACCATCTGAGCCACCAGGCAAGCCCGCTTATAAAGACTAGGTTTGGACTATTTTCATTCAAGTCCTGGCAATGTAAGAGGAATTCATCTATTTAGCCTGTGCCCATATGGCCAGGCCAGAATTCAAACAGTGGAGCACAAAACATTGGAAAACACTGATAAATTCACAAAATTAGGCCCATCCTAACCTCATCTCAAACTTGCTTGACATTTTTGCTTGGGGGAACTTGAGAGTGATTTTAGATGCACATCATCCAGTAGAACTTTCTGCAATGATGGTGGTCTTCTAGATATACACTGTCCAACATGGAGGCCACTGGCCACATGTGGCCATTGTGCAGTTGAAATGTGACCAATAGGACTGAGGAACTGCATTTTAACTTTTATTTCATGTTAATTAATTACAATTTAAATTCAAACAGACACATGTGGTGAGTGGCTAATGAATTAGTACAGAGTCTAATAAGTACTGGGTTGGCCAAAAAGTTTGCTTGTGTCTTGAAAAACCCAAACGAACTTTTTGGCCAATCCAATACTAATTCTGGCTATATCTCTCTAGCATCACTGTTTTCTCTACAGAAAAAATGACAACTGTCTGCTACCTTCTGCTACCTCAGTGACAACACCTGAGATTCTTACTGGGATCCTGCAGAGACACAACTCTGTAGTCCCACAAATATTAAATAAAAATTTGCTTGAACTGATTACTTGGACATTGGAGAGACTTCTCACTTCACCAGCATAGAAAAGAACACTGAAACTCTCTGAAAGTTCTTCTCTATAGATAATCATCAAAAACATGAAAGGAATAACAGGATTAGAAAATTACCAGTTTTTCACTCACAGGGTAATAATTGCTTCAAGCAAAGGTCATCAGAATATGATTTTACCAATGGGTAAAAGGCTGTTGGGAATCCGACTACTCATATAATGTTAAAGGCTTTCTTGAAAAAAAATTAATTATTTGGCTGCGTCAGGTCTTAGTGGTGGCCTGTGGGCTTCTCTAGTTGTGGTGTACTGGGCTATAGAGCACACTGCTTTAGTTGCTCCAGGGCATGTGGGATCTTAGTTCCCTGACCAGGGATCAAACCCATGTCCCCTGCATTTCAAGGCAGATTCTTAATCTCTGGACCACCAGGGAAGTCCCTACAGGTTACTTGTTTAGTTACAAAGGGAAAACAGTGCTTTTACAGGTGGCAAGACCTGGGGTCTAAAGTGGTAAAATTTAACATCACTAATAACCAGGGATAGCTGGACAAGACGCACCACCTGACATGATGCAACAAGAAATGTATAACTTCCTTTCACGTTATTTCTGGCCAAAAATCAAATGATTCTCTATCTCTAGTCAAGAGGAAAACAAATCCAAAAATTCCAGACTGTAGAGCAGCAGTGGCCACAGGACTAGAAAAGGTCAGTTTGCATTCCAATCCCTAAGAAAGGCAATGCCAAAGAAAGCTCAAACTACCACACAATTGCACTCATTTCAGATGCTAGTAAAGTGATGCTTAAAATTCTCCAAGCCAGGCTTCAGCAATACATGAACCGTGAACTTCCAGATGTTCAAGCTGGTTTTAGAAAAGGTAGAGGAACCAGAGATCAAACTGCCAACATCCGCTGGATCACTGAAAAAGCAAGAGAGTTCCAGAAAAACATCTATTTCTGCTTTATAGACTATGCCAAAGCCTTTGTGTGGATCACAATAAACTGTAGAAAATTCTGAAAGAGATGGGAATACCAGACCACCTGACCTGCCTCTTGAGAAATCTGTATGCAGGTCAGGAAGCAACAGTTAGAACTGGACATGGAACAACAGACTGGTTCCAAATCGGAAAAGGAGTACATCAAGGCTGTACAGTCACCCTGCTTATTTAACTTATATGCAGAGTACATCATGAGAAAGGCTGGGCTGGATATAGCACAAGCTAGAAACAAGACTGCCAGGAGAAATATCAATAACCTCAGATATGCAGATGAACCCACCCTTATGGCAGAAAGTGAAGAAGAACTAATGAGCCTCTTGATGAAAGTGAAAGAGGAGAGTGAAAAAGTTGGCTTAAAGCTCAACATTTAGAAAACTAATATCATTGGCATCCGGTCCCATCACTTCATGGCAAATAGATGGGGAAACAGTGGCTGATTTTATTTTTCTGGGCTCTAAAATGACTGCAGATGGTGATTGCAGCCATGAAATTAAAAGACACTTACTCCTTGGAAGGAAAGTTATGACCAACCTAGACAGCATATTAAAAAGCAGAGACAAAAGGTCCGTCTAGTCAAGGCTATGGTTTTTCCAGTGGTCATGTACGGATGTCAGAGTTGGACTATAAAGAAAGCTGAGTGCTGAAGAATTGATGCTTTTGAACTGTGGTGTTAGAGAAGACTCTTGAGAGTCCCTTGGACTGCAAGGAGATCCAACCAGTCCATCCTAAAGAAGATCAGTCCTGGATGTTCATTGGAAGGACTGATGTTGAAGCTGAAACTCCAATACTTTGGCTACCTGATGTGAAGAGATGACTCATTTGAAAAAGACCATGATGCTGGGAAATATTGAGGGCAGGAGGAGAAGGGGATAACAAAGGATAAGATGGTTGGATGGCATCACCAACTCAATGGACATGAGTTTGGGTGGACTCTGGGAGTTGGTGATGGACAGGGAGGCCTGGCGTGCTGTGGTTCCTGGGGTCGCAAAGAGTCGGACACGACTGAGCGACTGAACTGAATTAAACTGAATGCAAGACAATTATCCTGGAAATCCTTAAAAAATAAAACAAAACCTCAATGTCATAAGCGATCAAAAGGAGGAGTGTAGGATTATCCTCAATTAAAGGACTAAAGAGAGGACAACCAAGTCAGTCAGAGGAAGAGGGCACAGAGCCACCATGGAACTGAATTTTTTTGAAAAAGGAAAGCAAAAAAAGAGATGACAGCCAAAGGAAACTTTGATTGGATCCTGGATCCTACATGTGTATATAAAATTTGGTTTACTAAAAGTATTGTGATCATGTAGAAGATTAGGTTCCTCGGGGATACATGCTGAAGTATTTTAGGGGCAGAAAGTCATGATGTCTATAATGTACTCTGAAGCACTCTGAAATGGCTGAGAGAAAGAGAGAGAGAAGAAAATGACAGAATGTTAACAATTGGTGTATCCAGGTTAGAAGTTGGATATTCATTGCTCTATCAGCTTTTTTGCAGATTAAAAATTTTCCACAATTTAAAACAAACATTTAATTATATCTTTGGTGAAAATGTTTCACAAATATTGATACATGAATACTCTTTCTGTCTCTCTGATTTAATCTAACTTACTAATAATGATGATTCAGGATCTCATATTAGTCCAGCGTCTAAAAACAACAAATTGTAAAGAATCATGGATGCAAGGTGCTAAAATAGGTAAATAGGTAGATATAGAGTCTAACAATTACACATTTTTCCCCCCAGATAAATCCTCCAATCTTTTGTTGAACTTCTTCTTCTCTTAAAAATGAAGGGCAGGAGAAAAATTCTACGTTACTGGAACATGTGGTTAATCTTCAGATCTGGTTGTGCACGTCCCCTGGAAACCTACAGTTCTGAGCAGAGTCCTACCCAGCACCCCCGTTTCCTGCCCTTTCCTCCCTCTGCTGTGGAAGCTCTGATCCTTGCTGTAGCCACTTGCTACACTACCTGACTGAGATGCAGCCCTATGCCTGACCACACAAAGCCTCCAAAGACTCACCAAGGCCCTCCTATAGACAGAGAAATGCAGGAGGGCCCCTTGGAGGGTCTCAGAGGTCCCTGCTACTGAACAGGGGTGCTGAACAGGAGAAAGGTTTACTACTAGGTTTTAAATGCCAGAAGAAAACAGACCAGGAGCCTTGTAACACAGATGGAGTTCTGCTCTTTCCCCATTCGAGGCTGTTTACTTCAGGACAATTGAATGATTACTTTTCTGGCAGGGTTGAGGAGCCCTTGGACCAATCCCCCAGGATGATACTAGATCCCTACAAAGGGATTCACCCTTGGGACAGGGCGTGTGGTGGTGTGCTGCATAGCAAGAAAGATCAGGTACATTATTTAAAGTATAATGCCTCAGAAGACTTGGAGTTCTCTAGCTTTCTGAAATTCCTAGTTTCAGGCAACAGTCCACAATATACATTTCCCTCCTAACCTATTATAATGCTTTTGATTTAGGCCATGGTATAAATCTAAAACTTTTGTGCTGGTTTATTACATCATATTTCAGCAGTCCCCTGATACATCAGGGTTGAGTTCATCTGACCACATCCAACAGTCTTCTTTCCAGAATGAACTGAATTATCCTTATTTTCATTAAGAATGAGACAAATGTGGTAATCCCATACCAAATGAGAAAGTAAAGCAATCGCACTGATGTGCTCATTCCAGAATGAATAAATACAGAATATGAATCATTTCCCTTTTGATATATGTACATTCTGATTAACCACCACATAAAATGCCACAAAAATCTCAGAAATTTTAGAAGCATTCTACTCTAATCAATAGATGGGTTTTTTAAAATTTGAATGGCTGAGGTCCTAAATAAATTTGGGGAATATGAGACACATGCATTCATATCAAATCTTAAACAATTGATCAGAATCTGAACTCTCTCATGTTCCAAGTGTAATAACTTGTACTTTGCTGGAAGGGCCTTCCTCCTTGAAGGCTGTATATTTCAAAGGAAAGGGTTTCCTCTGAAACTTAACTGGTACCTACAGTCAGGTCTCTAATATGAACATCTTTGTGTGTGTATTTTAGGAAAAAAGTGTGAATCCAGAGATCTTAAATGCTTCAATTAATTGTATGCATGTCATTAACAGTTTACATTTGGGGCCTGGCAAAGTCTCAAAATTTATGTCCCATGAAAGGTACTGTTGCTTTCACCAACTGTCCTCATAGAGTAAAACACTTTCACGAGAAGAACAGACTTCAAGGCTATTTTGCATTTGCTTTATATACCAGCACCCAGAATCAGATCAGGAAGAAAAAATACCAGTAAAAGGTCCAGAAGGGAAGAAGAAATATTAAAGTCTTTATTCTGATTGCCCAATATCACCACCCTTAAGCATAATCTGTCATAAATTTGGTCACTGAGAAACAAATTGCATTAGAAGAGTCACGATCTTCTGTTTTTTAGAAAAATCTGTTTTTGTATCTTTTGATTCACCATGGTAAGGTACAATTTAAAAATCCATACTTCAAAACTAAAGCGGCATCAGTGCTTAATTAAGATGATGTAAACCATATCCCAGTCATAGCTGAAATACAAAATCTGAGTACTCTTTATGACTTAAAAGGCTTCTTTACTAGATCACAAGCAGGATTTGGTGGGGAAAGTGTTTGTGGCTCTGAAAATGGGCTACTCTTGACACTAAGCTCAGCTGTCAAGCAGCTACTCATCAACTCTGGCTTTGGTGCTGACAAAAACTGTCCAAAATGGGGAGGAAGGGGACAGACTCTCAGGAACACTGACACATCAATCAACTCAGAAAAGGGTAGAAGAACGATTAGACTTGACCAGACCTCTTAAGGGGCAAGGGACTGTTGCACACAGGAAGAAAGAAAGAGACAAGTAGCATAAAGAGAAACATCTCAGGTTAGAGAGAGGGGGGGAAAAAGCCAGGCCCGGTTAATTTGCTTCTGAGGATGCCCTTGTGTCACCTGAAGTACTGCCAGCGGTGTTCGTTCTGGTCCTCTTCGGAGGGCTCCTCGATGCCAACTCTGGGCAGCAGAAGAAGGGAACATGAGTCTGACAGGGACCATGGGGGAGCCAGAGGCTCTGGACACGTGACCTGGACCACATCCATCAAAGACCAGGCCATCTCACTTTACACATAAATTTGTACCCTCTCATAAATTGTCCCCATTCTCTGAAATCCAGAGAGGGAGCTAAATTTACGTAGAAAGCAACAGTGTTAGAAGCCAGGTCAAATGAGGATTGATTAGGAATGAAGATAAGCCTCTCAAAATACAATGAAATCAGGGGAAAAAATGCAACTCATAGAAAATGACTTCAAACTACTTTTCACAAATTCATTTGTTTCACAATGATACAAAAACTAGAAAACAGAAAGCTATTGACATATATTTGAAGTGTTTATACACACTTTTACACATATTTGACAGGAAGAGCAAAGAACACAAAATTACTGAAAATGGCAACAACGGAAAACGAAATGGCCTTTTTTCCTACAAGTAATCACATTATCCATGGGTTCAACCTAAAGGTCAAGAGCCCAACTTCGGCTATTTTCTTTATCTTATGGCCTCAAGAATTGACAGAGTCCATTTTCACCTCCCTCAATAATTGCTAGGTTATTCAGAATACATTAGAATTTTACCATTATTCTAATGAGCAGGATTTCACAATCTCAGTACTACTGACATTTTGGGTCCTGGCTTTTACCTGCAAGATACCACCAGTAGCACCTTCCTCCAGTTGAAGCAAACAAAAATGTCTCCAGACATTGCCAAATGTCCCCTGAGAGGGCAAAAATACCTGAAGATGAGAACCTCTGCACTAAATCTTGCATTCTCAATGGAGGGTGATACAGCCTCCAGGGGCATGAAAATCTGTTATTTAGGGACAAATTTTTTTTTAGATATTACAGTGGTTTATAGCCCTCTAAAGTTCCATAGTATATAAATAATATATAGATCTGTTGTATTAAAAAATTCAATGGAAGCAACAGATAAAAAGAACATCTTTAAAGGTTCCTCAGAGGAACAGTGATGAAAAAAAGGTTGAGAGGCATTGTGCTAGAGAGTGCCCAAATTCTCATGCTACTAATATACACTGAAATATACAAGTGAGAACATGATGCTTCTTAAGGTGGTACTTTTATTTTATTTTTATTATTTATTTATTTATTTATTTATTTATTAGTTAGAGGCTAATTACTTTACAATATTGTAGTGGTTTTTGTCATACATTGACAAGAATCAGCCATGGTTTTACATGTATTCCCCATCCCGATCCCCCCTCCCACCTCCCTCTAAGCCTGATCCCTCTGGGCCTTCCCAGTGCACCAGGTCCGAGCACTTGTCTCATGCATACAACCTGGGCTGGTGATCTGTTTCACCCTAGATAATATACATGTTTCGATGCTGTTCTCTTGAAACATCCCAACCTCGCCTTCTCCCAGAGTCCAAAAGTCTGTTCTATACATTTGTGTCTCTTTTTCTGTTTTGCATATAGGGTTATCGTTACCATCTTTCTAATTCCATATATATGTGTTAGTATACTGTAATGGTCTTGATCTTTCTGGCTTACTTCACTCTGTATAATGGGCTCCAGTTTCATCCATCTCATTAGAACTGATTCAAATGAATTCTTTTTAATGGCTGAGTAATATTCCATGGTGTACACGTACCACAGCTTCCTTATTCATCTGCTGATGGGCATCTAGGTTGCTTCCATGTCCTGGCTATTATAAACAGTGCTGCGATGAACATTGGGGTGCACGTGTCTCTTTCAGATCTGGTTTCCTCGGTGTGTATGCCCAGGAGTGGAATTGCTGGGTCATATGGCAGTTCTATTTCCAGTTTTTTAAGAAATCTAAGGTGGTACTTTTAATTAGGCACATGTTGGGAATGTGACTTAAACCAGACTTTATATATTACTATAGTATTGAAAAGCTATAACAAATTTCAGAAAAGCAAGCTGGATTCCGTAAATGCAAAATTCACTAGTAATAGTACTAACAGCAGTTCTAATGCTATGATTACTAATAATATTATAGGTAAAATATACTAAATGTTTTCCATATGCCAGATGGTACATTTAATGGGAGAACTCTTTATCACATTTATTTAGTATCACATTTTATGTACATACCATTGTCATCCCCATTACCTGGTGAGGAAACTGAGAGTCAGAGAGGTTACCCAAGTTGCCCAAGGTCACAAAGGTAGAAAATGGAGGAACCAAGATTGCAACTGAGGCTGTTAGACCCAGAGCTGCAGTGCTACAACTTACAGGCTATTGCCTTTGACTATAAGGTGGCGTCTTTAAAGTCTTTTAAAATATCCAGTTGCAAATGATATTACATAAAGAGCTCAGAGCTTCTCCTTGCCTTTATTCCTTAAATTATCTTACACAGAGCTTCATCTTAAACTCTCAGTGTGACAGGATTATACCTAGCAGAGTGTCCTTACTTGTCCTTGAGTGACTATGTTGCTGCACTCTGGGGTATGAAGGTTTTCCTGTTCATTTGGCTGCCTGGGTGTATGTCATTGATTCCCCCATCACCACCACCACGTCATGGGCATGTCACTTGAAACTGGGCCTTCCAAGAGGATGGCCACCATGTTACCAAAATGTGCTCAGGACATATACAAGGCTCATCTGCTGAATCTGCTCATCTGATGGTTTTTTGAAGTTGCCAAAATTACACCTTTGTGAATAACAACACTTGCTCAAGAGACTAAAAAAATATTACATAGTTTATTGCTCAGTTGTGTCCGACTCTTTCTGACCCCATGGACTGCACCTGCCAGGCTCCTCTTTCCATAGGATTTTCCAGGCAAGAATACTGGAGTGGGTTGCCATTTCCTCCTTCAGGGGATCTTCCCAATCCAGGGATCGAACCTGAGTTTCCTATGTCTCCTGCATTGCAGGCAGAATCTTTACAGCTGAGACACTGGGGAAGCCCCCATGTAGTAGTTTACTACCAGAAAGCAATTTGGGAACTTTGTCATCATGTTTTAAAATAGCAATCACATGCTCAATATCGCTAATTATTAGAAAAATGCAAATCAAAACTACAATGAAGTATCACCTCACATTGGTCAGAATGGCCATCATATATTTTGTGTCCCAAATCATTTTGTGAGGTGAGATTACCCTGATACCAAATAGGACAAAGGCAATATGAGAAAAGAAAACTGCAGATCAGTATCCCTCATGAACATAGACACAAAAATCCTTAACAAAATATTAGCTAATAGAATTCAGCAATATGTAAAACATTTATACAAGCAAGACTGGTTTTAAAGAAGCAATGCTGGTTCAATATTTTAAATTAATCAATGTAATCTACCATATTAACAGGCTAAACAACAACAAAATATAATGATATGAACTAATACAGAAAAAGCATTTGATAAAATTCAACATCTGTTCATTATAAAACCCTCAGAAAACTAGCAATTAGTGGGAACGTCCTCACATTGATGACAAACATCTACAAAATCTCTATAGACTTAACATTACACTTATTGGTGAAAGACTGAATGCTTTCCCCTTAAGACTGGGGACAAAGCAAGGATTTCTGCTCACATCACTCTTGTTTAACACAGTTTTGTGGACACCTTATCTTCAACAAAGGAGGCAAGAATATACAATGGAAAAAAGACAACCTCTTTAATAAGTGGTGCTGGGAAAACTGGTCAACCACTTGTAAAAGAATGAAACTAGAACACTTTCTAACGCCATACACAAAAAAAAACTCAAAATAGATTAAAGATCTAAATGTAAGAACAGAAACTATAAAACTCCTAGAGAACATAGGCAAAACACTCTCCGACATAAATCACAGCAGGATCCTCTATGACCCACCTCCCAGAATATTGGAAATAAAAGCAAAAATGAACAAAATGGGACATAATTAAACTTAAAAGCTTTTGCACAACAAAGGAAACTATAAGCAAGGTGAAAAGACAGTCCTCAGATTGGGAGAAAATAATAGCAAATGAAGCAACAGACAAAGGATTAATCTCAAAAATATACAAGCAACTCCTGCAGCTCAATTCTAGAAAAATAAATGACCCAATCAAAAAATGGGCCAAAGAACTAAACAGACATTTCTCCAAAGAAGACATACAGATGGCTAACAAACACATGAAAAGATGCTCAACATCACTCATTATCAGAGAAATGCAAGTCAAAACCACAATGAGGTACCATTACACGCCAGTCAGGATGGCTGCTATCCAAAAGTCTACAAGCAATAAATGCTGGAGAGGGTGTGGAGAAAAGGGAACCCTCTTACACTGTTGGTGGGAATGCAAACTAGTACAGCCACTATGGATAACAGTGTGGAGAGTCCTTAAAAAACTGGAAATAGAACTGCCATATGACCCAGCAATCCCACTCCTGGGCATACACACCGAGGAAACCAGATCTGAAAGAGACACGTGCACCCCAGTGTTCATCGCACCACTGTTTATAATTACCAGGACATGGAAGCAACCTAGATTCCCATCAGCAGACGAATGGATAAGGAAGCTATGGTACATATACACTATGGAATATTACTCAGCCATTAAAAACAATTCATTTGAATCAGTTCTAATGAGATGGATGAAACTGGAGCCCATGATACAGAGTGAAGTAAGCCACAAAGATAAAGACCAATACAGTATACTAATGCATATATATGGAATTTAAAAAGATTATAACAATAACCCTATATGCAAAACAGAAGAAGAGACACAAATGTACAGAACAGACTTTTGGACTCTGTGGGAGAAGGCGAGGGTGGGATGTTCTGAGAGAATAGCATTGAAACAAGTATACTATCAAGGGTGAAAACAGATCACCAGCCCAGGCTGGATGCATGAGACAAGTGCTCAGGGCTGGTGCACTGGGAAGTCCCACAGGGATGGAATGGAGAGGGAGGCGGGAGGTGGGATCGGGATGGGGAACACATGTAAATCCATGGCTGATTCATGTCAATGTATGGCAAAAAACCACTACAATATTGTAAAGTATTTAGCCTCCAACTAATAAAAAATAAATGAAAAAAAAAAACATAGTTCTGATGGCTCTAATCAGAGCAACAAGTCAAGAAAAGGAAATAAAAGGGACACTGGTTGGAAAAGAAAAGATAAAACTGTCTCTATTTGCAAACTACCTTCCTAAAACTAATATGTGAATTTGGCAAAGTGGCAGGATATAAGATCAACCCACAAAAACTAACTACATTTCTATATCTTGGCAATGAACATATGGAAACTGAAATTGAAGATAGAATAACGTTTAAAATAGCTCAAAATAAGAAGAAATACCTAGAAGTAAATATAACAAAATGTGCACAGACACTGTATAATGAAAACTATAAAATATTGATAAAAGAAATCAAATAAGATCAAATAAATAGAGAAACATGTCATGTTCATGGACTGGAAGACTCAACAAGGTAAAGATGTCAATTCTCCCCAAACTGATAAATCAAGTTTAACACAATTTCTTTGAAAACCCCAGCACAATTTTTTTTTAGGATGTGGACAAGCTCATTCTAAAATATATATGGAAAGGAACTAGAATAGCTATAATAATTTTGAAAAAGAAGGATAAAGTGGAAGGACCCACTCTACCTGATGCTCAAGTTGAACATATAACCATAGTTATCAAAACAGTATGGTTCTGGTGGAGGTACATACATATAAATCAACAGGGCAAATAGAAACAGACTCGCATACATACCACCAACTGATTTCTGGCAAAGGAACAAAAACAATTCAATGGAATAAGGACAGTCTCTCTAACAAATTGTCCTGGAACAACTGGATGAAAGTGAAAGAAAAAGTCGTTCAGTCAAGTCTGACTCTTTGCGACCCCATGGACTATACAGTCCATGGAATTCTCCAGGCCAGAATACTGGAGTGGGTAGCCGTTTCCTTCTCCAGGGGACGTTCCTGATCCAGGGATTGAACCCAGGTCTATCACATTGCAGGTGAATTCTTTACCAGCTGAGTACCAGGGAAGCCCAGAACAACTGGATAGCAACAGACAAAATAAAACTTAAACCTGAACCTCAGGTTTAATATTAAAAATTAAGTCAAAATGGATCACAGATATAAATGTAAAACATAAAACTAAAAAATCTTTTAGAAGATAACATAAAAGCAAATCTTTGGGACTAGTGCTTGATGAAGAGTTCTTTGGCATTAACACCAAAAGCATGATGCATTTTAAAAAAGATAACTTGCATCTCATCAAAATTAAAAGTTTTGCTTTATGACAGACTCTGTTAAAAGGATTAAAAGACAAGCTACAGAGTAGGAAAAAATATTCACAAAACACATATCTGAAAACAGACTAGTTTCTAGAACAAATGCAAAACTCAATAAAAAACAAACAATACAACTAGAAGATAGACAAAAAACTTGAACAGATATTTCACCATAGATATTCAACATCATTAGCCATGAGAAATGCAAATTAAGACCACAATGAGGTATCCCCACATACCTATTAGAGCAGGTAAAATAAAAAGTGTCAATACCAAATGCTGGCAAGGATGTAGAAAAATTGGATCTTTCATATACACAGTCATTTTGTGACCTTTTATCATGTAGGAGCTGTTTTTTTTTTTCACTTTTTAAAAAATTTTTTTTATTAGTTGGAGGCTAATTACTTTACAATATTGTAGTGGGTTTTGTCATACATTGACATGAATCAGCCATGGATTTACATGTGTTCCCCATCCCGATCCCCCCTCCCACCTCCCTCTCCTCCCAATCCCTCTGGTATTTTCAAGTGCTAATTTATATATCACTGTAATATTTTCACAACAATCCAATTATTATATGTGTACATATACAGCTTGTGTGCATCAGGGAAAGGGGCCCATGCTCTCAGCTCTGAGGAGAACTATTTCAATGGCCCAATTTTTGAAATGGGTTTGAGAATGGGCAAAATGTCAAAAGTCAACTCTCTACTCTCATTGTATAATTATTTGGTCCTATATATAATGAGAGGTGGGGTCATCAGAAAAGGAACTTCTGAAATAGCCTGAAAAACACGATTTAACCTGGCTCTGAGCATCCAGGGCATCTACTGGGTGACAAGGTAAACTGGAGCAGGAAGTAATCACAGAGAGGTCACCAAATGCAGATTCTCAACTGTATGCAGGGTAAACCTTCTTTGCTCTTATTTTGCTACACAGAACAGAGATGGTACCATCTTATGTCTCAAGTTTAAAGCCAAAAATCTGTACGTTTTCTTCTTCAGATTTCTATTTCCATAGATGAACTATTTTCCTTCATGTGACTCTTGAGATTCATACCAAGAAACTGAAATTCTAATCATCCCAGATTTTCTAACACAAAAACAGTTACTAATACAGCAAGCCTTTTGGGCAGTATAGTACAGTAGTAAAGAGCATGCCAGGGTTCAAATCTCAGTTTGTTCACTTACAGCTTTGTGACCTTGGGCAAGTTACTGCTCTATGTCTCAGTTTCCTCAGCTCTAAAATGAACATAATAGTATTAGCTCCCTTATAGGAATGCTATGAGGATTATCTTCATGTAAGTGTTGGCATCTCAAACAACAGCTGCAGCACAAGTGTTAGCTATTAGAAGACTCTTACTGATAAGTCCACCCAGGTTCTGCAGACCCACCCAGATCTGAGGCTGAGATGCAGTAGCTCAGAAATGGTGCAGCCAGCACCAACAACTCCTGGTGACAACCAATGGTGGCCATGCCCAGCAACCCCTGCCTCCCATCAATATAAAAGTTCCAGAGGGGAGGGACTATTCTCTCAAACCCGTTTTCTCCCTGACCCCAAGGATCACCGTAAGATCCTTGTTGGTTCTTTCTTCTCCAAACTAGGTGTGCTCCGCAATTGTCAGTTCCACACAAACCAGCAGCCAGCAGAGAAAGGGAAAAAAAATTGCCATCTTGTGGATTTTCAGAGAATCCTTCATACCTATGTGCCACCGGAGTCTTCTCATCCCCAGCATGCTTACCCTCTGCAGATCTGAAACTGAGGCAGGTGGTGAGAGCACCTCCAATGATGTAGAGTGCACACTCAGAGCTAAAGGGACCTGGAGAAAAGCTGACAGCATGCTTTCGTTTAATGTGAAGACATATGGAGGCCCAAAGGCATGAGGAACTTGTCTTAAACCAGGACCAGAGTTAGTGTATGGGTCTCTCAACCCATTTCAATGTCCTCTTTACTGTAAGATGCTGGACCAGCTCACAAGCACAACTTGAAATTCAAATGCTCTTAAAAAAAACCTTAAACTTGGGTCAGTGCTCCTCCATCCTGACACAGCTAACAAAACCACAGGCAGGGGATGTCCATGAGGCTGCAAGAAATGAGGGTGATGCAGGAAATGTCACCTCTTCTGTGCATGCAAGCAAGAAGAGGCACAGCATAGTTTCCTCCTAAAATAAAACTCTATTGCTTCTCCTTACTTCCAGCTGATGAGCTTATTTTTCAAGGCCGTAGATTTGATTTCAGAGGAGTATGAAATGCCAGACACTGTCAGCAGCTATGTCTATTCCCTGTCCTGTAGCTTTAAGACTTTTTGAATTCCTGCCTTAATGTCTCAGCGTTAGCAAGGTCCAGGTGTTTCTTACTCTGCTTTTGTACCCACAAACATTTTAATGATTTTTTTCATGGAAAATTCAATACTCTGAATTTTTATTTATTTTTAAAAAATTTTAATCCTTCCCCAAATAAAACAAAAAAAATATAAAAGGCTTCCATGTGCTAAGCTGTATGTAGCAGCCTCTGCAGGGGAATAGTGACATAGTTAGACACAAAACTGGCCTTGTTTCAAACCAACCTTATATTAAGCCATGACAACATGGGTGTTGTGCCTCCACCAATGATCCAGACAGTGAAGAAGACGATGAGGAGAGTGGTCGTGAACATCATCTGGCGTGCGTAGGATGCTGTGTCTCGGATGGCCAGTGCAAATGCCATCGCTCCCCTGAGGCCTGTGGGGACCAAAGAGGAAGCTCTCTTGTCATAAAGATAAATAACAATGTGTCCCCAGGCCCACTGCTTAGTCACACAGGTCTAATAAATTGTATCTGCTTATGCTTCAAGAGTCAAGTTTTCTATAGAAAGAACCTTAAAATAATTTAAATGATTTCCTCCTATTTAAAGTTTTCTTTTGCAAAATGCCCAAAGGCAATAAGAAAAACACTGCCCTGTTTTGTACAGCACATTGTGAGAATCCCATATGTGAATACCCCATAGTTTGGAATCTAATTTGGTGTGTGGCTAAATTAACAACTTTTATAGATCTGCTGAGAGTACCTGTGAAGCTTATCCCATACCCGTGGAATAACACTGATGCTAGTATCTGGCAATCAGCAAGAAACTCAAGCACCAATGTCCACTCATCAGAAAAAGTAGAAAAATACAACTGCCCATCAAACCAAATGTGCATATGGCCTTGTTGTTATTTTGTTGCTCAGTCATGTCTGACACTTCTCCTCTGTCCATGGGATTTCCCAGGCAAGGGTATGGGGTGGGTTACCATTTCCTTCTCCAGGAACCCACATCTCCTGTATTGGCAGGCAGGTTCTTTACCACTGAGCCACCAGGGAAGCCCCTTAGAATAATAACACTCTTTCATTACTGAAAGAATTTTCATGCTAGTAACATGAAATAAAAAGAATATAAATAATAATATAAGTTTTCCAAGTCTGTGATTCAAGCACTACCCAAGTGCTATATAGTCATTATAAACTTAAGATACAGGCTAGGTATGAATATGTGAAATGTACAAAACAGCATTTCCTTAGAAAAGCCAGGCAGATAAGTAACAATATAACCTGATCTATATCAGGGGATGAAGACTTCTTCTATAAAGGTTCAGATACTAAATATTTTAGGCTTTGTGGGCCAAAAGGAAAAATCAAGGATATTATGTAGGTATGTACACAAAAGAGGAAAAAAACAAATTTCCACAAAATTTTATTGATAAAAACCAAAAGTATAATAAGTGTAATATATAAGTACCCTATTATAAGAGCTTCCCTAGTAGCTCAGCTGGTAAAGAATCTACCTGCAATGCAGGAGACCCCTGTTCAATTCCTGGCCTGGGAAGATCCACTGGAGAAGGGATAGGCTACCCACTCCAGTATTCTTGGGCTTCCCTGGTGGCTCAGATGGTAAAGAACCCGCTTGCAATGTGGGAGACCTGAATTCGATCCCTTGGTTGGGAAGATCCCCTGGAGGAAGGCATGGCAACACACTCCAGTATTCTTGCCTGGAGAATCCCCATGGATAGAGGAACCTGGCGGGCTACAGTCCATGGGGTCACAAAGAATCAGACATGACTGAGCGACTAAGCACAGTACACAGCATAAATTCCTATTCACCATGGGTAAGGCTGCCTGTATAGTATGAGAATGAAAAGTTATACTCACTATATTTATTTGTATATTTTCCCACTTTTCCCAACAATTTCATGATTTCATGCATCTGAGAACTTCATTGCAGTTCACTGGAGCAACTCAATAAAAGTTATATTAAAAACAGAGCAAGGTTGATGTTCTCTATTAATTTGTCCTATTGAAATACTGACATCTAGATCATCCTACAGCCAGCTATGACAACACTTAATATTTCAACCTTTAAATGGATGCTATCTCAAAGAAGAAAACCTGAGGGTCAGAGAGTGATAATGTGTGCTCCATTTTTCTTTATTAGGTAAACAATGTAAGTGATATGAAAGTGGTATTTCTTTCATAGCCTTGAGGAAAACAATTTTGATAGGAGATATCTTTAAACAGTACTGTGTATCTCTCAGTCTTTTAACACAGAAGATGATGAACACACTTGATCTACGTGACCAAGTTATCTCCAATTCATCTTCCTCTTTTCCACTGGCATTTTTTATCATATGTATGGAGGCTCTGCTCTGTCTTGCCCTCCTGAGAAGCCTCTAATGTTTCCCAGATGCTCTTGAATGAAAGCCCAACTCTTTGGCATGGCACTGGGGCTTCTCTGTGGTCTAGACTCCAGCAATGATTCTCAAAGTGTGGTCCTCAAACCACCATCAGCAGCAGCAACAGCTGAGAAAATATTAGAGCTGCAAATTATTGGGGCCCACTCCATTCCCTCAGAATCACTCTCTGGTGGTAGGGCCCAGAAATCAGCTTTAACCAGCCCAATAGGTTATTCACATGCACCTTGAAGGCTTGCACCAATTCACATGAAATTTCCCTTTCCAACCTCACCCGCATTCTGCATTAGCCTGGGTGTCTCATGTTTAAACCAGACTATTACCCTTCCCTAAAAAGGCCACACACATCAATGCTTTCCTGCCCTTCCAACCTGCTGCCTCCTGAAGTGCCACTGCATCCAAGCCCAGTTGGAAGGCTACGCACTGGATGAAGATGGCCCTGGGCCCTGCTTTTCTCCACATTTATGCCACATCTCTTGTGTGCAATTCACCACCCTCTCTTGGGAGAAAGTTAGCTTTTTGTATAGCGTCTCCCCTCAGTGGACTGTGAGCTCCCTGTGGACTGTGAGCTGGTTTCTATATCCTCCACAACCTAGAAGCATGGCTTTTATGAAGTGAATGCCCAATAAACGTGTGTCAGAGTGAAAGGAAATCTTTAGGGCTGGTTGTGTACTTAAATGGAGATGCAAGGGAGTACTAGACAACACAATTGCTTTGCTGAGCAGTGCCTAATGATATGATTTCAGTATGACTCTCTGAAGCCTCCAAGAACTACTGTGTGGCAGTAAAGGGCTGCCACTTGCTGTCCCTCTTGTACATCCCCTCCCCCTTTCCAGACAGAGGTACCTCTAAGTGTCACAGTGGCCTTTTGCCCCACTATCTTCTCCCTCTGCTCTGCAGGGATGCTCTTACTTGAGTCTTGTCTATAAAACTGGATGTTTTCCACTCTCACTGAACCATCTGCTCATGCCAATTGCTCTCTCCTTTCTTTTCCTTCACATATTTCTTTATTATCCTTTGTCTCTTCAATGGCTTCTCCACTTTTCTCAGCTTTATAGTGAACAGGGGGCATCTGGGAGACAGTGTAAGTCAAGCAGAACTATCATGGCTCTTATCTTCCAGTTTGGAATTCATCTTGCTAATGTGAGTATATTTTATATCTTAGAAAGTTAGAGCTAGGAGGGATCTCAATTGATTATTTCAATTTCATTATGAGAGAACACTGAAGCTTGGAGGTGTCAAATAATTTGGCCTGTACTCTTCATCATTAAAGACTTATTCTCCTTCTAATTATAGGTCTGAAGCCCTTCTGGAAGATTAAGGGTTATGAATACCCACTAGAAAACAATCAAGCACTCTAAATACATATATATCTCCAGGTATATATCTCCTTGGGTGGTAGAAATAAACATGTAAATATTTTAGAGGAAAATGTTCACATGTGATAGTATGGTTTACAAAATCAGTATCAGCTCTATTTAACATGTCTGTCTGTCTACTCGGCACTGCAGGGGATCCCAAAGAACCAGAAACTTGAATTTCTGTCTTTTTATGAACCTTATTGATTGCATTTTAATCATACTTACACTGCCTGCTTATAAAACTCACTTTATTGACTTTTTTTACCTGAAAACATCATCATGTGTTGAAAATTCCAGCCAATCTTGTGCCTTCTGCCCAAGTTGAGGAAGAAGGAAAGTGGGTAGATGTGGGCAGCTCTGCCCAAGAAGATGGCAACCTGACCACCAGGTGGAGGTTAAGGGCTCAACATGTTTCCCAAATGGCATTTTCACACAACCTCTGATTGAGCAGAGAATTTCAGGAATGCCAAGACACTTTATTATGATCAGAAGAGTTGAACAGAGAAGGCAGGCTGTCTCATTTGCCTCTAAACAAGTCTCAGAAGCAAGTGGGATTCGACTGGCCAATTTTTCCAACCTCCAGCTCACAGAGATAATTTATGGCCTGTTAAACACACTGCTGTAACTTTTTGATCTGATTAAACTGATACAGACCAAGTCTCTGATCTATCTAAAAAAAAATGAGTCCAGAGAGAAGCTAAGGTACCATGACTATGGTGCAGAGTTAAGAGAAGTAAAGAGTGTGTTTGGACTCTACTGGGAGGAAAAATAAATCGTAAGAAGAAAAAAATTACTAACCTGAGTCAAACTATAAACAGAAGGTTTGCTGGGTAAGGTTGTAAGCTTTGGTAAACATTCGGGGTGTGTATGACCAGGAAGAGCCTACAAGTAAGAGGTGGATAAGCTTACAGTATTTATACAACGAAGACACATTCATATTCCTCACAAGGATCAGCCTGGGGAGAGTTCTCTGCCAAAGTGGCTAACATGTCTTTGGGGAGGTAAGAGATGGAGGAAAGGCAGAGTGTGGAAGAGGAACTCACTGCGCAAACCAAAGAATTCAGGGAAACTGGTCATTCGTCACTTGCTGAGTTTAGAACAGAGCCCAACAGAGAGAGGCACACTGCCCTGCTCACAGCAGGAAATCACTGTGCAAGCCAGAGGAACAGGGAGCTTCCGTTTCAGCAGAGCAACCACCAGCTGCCGGAGCTGCAGCTGTTTCAGACAGAAGCGAGGGTGGGACTCTCTTCTGCCTTCCCTAGTATATAATTCAAACTTCTCCTCTGCTTCTTTTATCTCTCTCCCTTTTTTCCTTTTTGCTACTGTTGTGTTTGTTTTGTTTTTAACAGGAGGGAAGAGCAGTCCTCAAGTGGAAGTGGCCTTCAGGATTCACAGAGGCCCTGGCTCCCCCCTGAACAAGGCCTCCCACCATAAACAAGGGCAATGCTTTCACTATGTCTCACAGGATGCCATGCTAAGAATACAAATCACAGCGACATGCAAGGTCTTTCTTAAGAATAAAAACATTGATCTGCCAGATCTTTAGCTCTTTGTCTGGTGAGTGTGTAAACCTAGGAAATGAGCCCAGTTGAAGCAGATAATACTCTTAACAGGCAGGAGTCTGGCATGGCACGAGGCCACTGTCTCTCTCTCTAGCTGCTTGGTGAGTATCAGTTATTCCTCCACAATAAGTGAAAAGCTCAGAAGAGAAAAACACTCCTCTTTGGGGGGCCAACATCCCAAGATCTAAGGATACCCATGAGGCCTCAGAAAAGGCAAAAGGGAATAGGCAGCAATAGTGGCCTCCTGCTCTGGGTTTGGAGCTGAACTGCTATAGTTTCAAAGCCCAAAAGAGTTCACTTTAATGAAAACAATAGGGTCTGAGGCCAAGAGAGCAAAGCCCTCATCTATCAATGCACTGCTGGGCATTCATGTATCTCCTCACTTCAGAGGAGCCAACCCCCAAACTGTCTCTCGTCCAAAAAACTGCTGTCACAATGGGACTAAATCAAGGAACCAAGCATTTCTCCATTTTATCTTCCATTCCTCTCTATTTCCTTTTTTGAAAAAAAAAGGAGGGGGATCTTTTCCACCATGGGGAGGCGTGGGTGAAAGCACACACACCACGTGCAGGCTGCCTGTAACCGCGTGCAGTTGAGAGCAAGGGTCACAGAAACTTAACCTCTTGGATTGGAATTCATGTGCCAATGAGAAAAAAACAATTTGGGAGACAGATATGGGCTGTTGATTTTTAGATCTCTTAGGAAAGATGCTTTACAAAACAAACTACCACCTGCCAACCACCTGTGTAACAGACAGGCCATCTGACACAGAAAATGAAGAAAAGGTTAACTAGAAACAATACCCTGAATATTCATTGGAAGGACTGATGCTGAAGCTGAAGTTCCAATACTTTGGCCACTTGATGTGAAGAGCCAACTCACTGGAAAAAAAAACCCTGATGCTGGGAAAGACTGAGGGCAAGAGGAGAAGAGGGTGACAGAGGATGAGATGGTTGGATGGCATCACCAACTCAATGGACATGAGTTTAAGCAAACTCCAGGAGATGGTGAAGGACAAGGAAGCCTGGCATGCTGCAGTCCATGGGGTCACAAAGAGTAGGACAAGACTTAGTCGCTAAACAACAACATCAACACAGAAAACTTGGAAAGGGCAACTAGAATCAACATCAGTCCTTGAAATCAAATACTTTTAGCTTTATACATTACCACTTAAGCCTTCTTCTCATCATAAAGACACCATGAACCAGTGCTGGTTCAGTCACTTCCCCCCAAACCAGAGATTATTGTTGTTATAGCTTCCCTGGAAGCAGTCATCTCTCTATGTAGAAAATGGTGGAAGCAAAAAAGGATACAAAAGCTCCAATGATGAAAACAGGGCTGAAAACGTGCTTCTGGAAGGTAAACAGTGCCAGGCCCATGTAGGAGAATATGAAGTTCTCTGCCAGGAAATGTAATACCTCAAAGAGCTGCACAGAAAGGGAAAAGCAAACCGTAAACCCCATGGGTCTGCTCCCTCGTATTACAGATCACTGGTGAGGACACACGGCTCCCCCTCACCTGCTTCGTTCGGCTTCTGGATTCCACTGACAGATTGTTGTAGGTGTAATGAGCTTGTGTGATTCCACAGAAAAGGACAGCTACCACACCTGGCAAGAGAATTCAAGAAAAATCTATAGGGGGCAAGGAAAGAAGCTGGAAACAATCTCTCCCTGAAGCAAAAAGTTAAGATAGGAAAAACCAGCATATCCACTTCCTGAAAGTTTTGGAAAGTTGCCTATTACTGAAAGTGCCCCCGCCCCCACTTCTCATATCAACCTTTGCTTCTCCCAACTCTGCTCTCCTTCAAAGTCAAGGCCCTCAATTTTCCCCCTTCCTCCAGTTTTAAGGGTATTCTCTCCCCTCTTCTAAACTCCTACTGAATTGACCATCTCAATGTGGCATTTAGCATTCACTCCCTCATAGAGACTGTGAAGGGTGTACCGGTCACACAGTTGTCATATTCCTCTCTGTTTGCTGAATGAATGAATTTAATTTCAAACCAATGCTTTGTATTTTTGCATGGTCCAGGGATTCAGACAAAATGGATCCAGAGTACTAGTCCATTTATCCCAGCCCTGAAAAATCTAGATTTCTGGTTAATAGTGATTATTTTGTTGTTCAAGACAACTAGCACACCTGGGGCTTTGCCTATATATTTACAGATGGTTGTCAAGTTTTAAAGGAAGTAGGTCACATAAAGATACATTGCAGTATTTAGAAAAGATAATGAAAAGCACTTCCTAATTACCTGGGTTACGGAGAGCAACTATACTAGAGTTTTCTAACAGAACAAATCCAATTATTAAGTTTTTTTTTAATGAGAGAATGTGAAGAAGTAACACAATCACCCACACTAATAATCTATGAATCTAGCACCATAAAAACACAGTCTTGAAAAGTGGTGATTAAACAGACCAGACACAAAACAAGGAAAAATTGTGCTCACACTCATCTGAGTAGATGCAAAATGATCTTTAAAAGGATATATATTTTGCTTGTTATCACTACTGTCTGTAAAGTAACATAGCAATTCACGACTGAGCGACTTTCACTTTCAATTTACAAACAAGGTATTAATATATTCAATAACTTTTGCAGCTAGGCATCTACTTGTAGTCAGAATGAGTACTCAAAGATGTAACTGAGTTTGAAACAATAAAGCTTATCCTTTAAAAAATATATAGCTTTGGGGGAAACTAAACTATTCCTAAGGCAGCACACAGGCCTCACTCGGCAATCCTGCATATGGACATTCTGTGAGCGGTTTATCAACTCCGGGCCACAGCTATTAAGAAGTTTGCCCTCCCCTCAAGGTCCCACAGCTCCAGCCACAGTGAGGATAAAGGCGACCCAAGGGCAGAGGAAACCCACCTGTGAACCCACAGGCTTCCGCCAAGAGGAACGTGCTCCACGACATCAAAAAGAAGAGTGCAGTCTCCAGCAGGGGAAAGCAGTGCAGCTTGGTGAACTTGGTCACGTCAGCTCCTGTCAAGGAACTGTCTCCAGCAACGAGTATCACGGTCACTGAGAATCATTCTCTGTTAGCCCAGGACCCCTCCCCAAAGGGCTACTCTTTCCACTTCAACTCTTCCTTTGGGGCCCCAAAGCTGCTGCATGGTTTTGAATATAAAGAAAATGAAGCTTCTCCAGTAGAATGGAGGTTTCTGAGGGATGGGAGTCCAGGGATAGGGAGAATACTATTCAACAGGCACACAGTTTCTGTTGCAGATGATGAGAAAGGTTCTGGAAATGGTGGCAATGGTCACACAACACCAGTGGATGCACCTAATTCCACTGAATTGCATATTTAAAATGGTTAAAGTGGCAAACTTTATGTTAGGCATATTTTACCACAATTAAAAAATAATAATAACATAATAAACCAAAAACCAATGAATTGTACACTTCAAATGGGTGAACTGTACAGCATGTGAATTTCCTCTCAATAAAGCTGTTTTTTGTTTTTCTTAAATCAAGCTTTCCAAGAGAACTGGAAATGGGCTCTCTATGCTCCTGGCAATGCCCATATTTCTGAGACACACAGTTGAGGCCTGAGGTATGACTTGCAGGTGGGTTCCAGCAGTGCTAGGAGTGCCTCAGGCAGGCCTCGGAAGATGAGGCAGGGAGACTCTGACCTCTGTGGACTACTAAGGCCTGAGTCCATCACAGGTGCCTAATGCACGCATGAGGGAGAGAGGGAGGTAGAAATGCACAACTCCAGGGATAACTACAAAGTGCTGTCACTTTTTGGGATTGGCAATTCCCTTCCTCACACTGCCATTCCACGGAGTGGCGGCGGCGGCGGGGGTTGGTGGGGGGCGGCGCAGTACAGCTTAGAACCATGTCATAAGTCCTCAGAGCATCAGAAAGCCTTGAGGAAGAAAGCAATCTACATCTGCACGGCCCAATATGATAGCCGCTAGCCCCATGTAACTACCCAACACTTAAATATGGCTAGTCTGAACTGAGATATCCTATAAGAGCAAAATACACACCATATTTCAAAGACTTGGTACAAAACCTGAAGGGATAAAATCACATCACTAACTTGTATAAACTCCATTAATAGTCTGTGTATCTACTGTAGGCTGAAAAGATGAGGCTCACATTTGTGGCTCCCATTACATCTGTATTGGTCCCTGCTGATCTAAATGCTATTAGAAGAAGATCTGATGAAGAACTCAGTGCACCTGTTGAAGGCTTGCCTGCTCATTCCAACACTTTGCTTTTATGCTGGTTGGTTGACTGGCTTGTTGGTTTTTAACTCAATATCATGCAGTCCTTGGCTTAAGGAAGGCCACCTTGCTATAATTCCCACAGACAGCCCCTGGCTAGTGAAGGCCATGTTAGCCCCATATGGCCTGGAACAGCGGATGACAGCAGCCAGTCTGGGGCTAAAGTACTTCACAGCCTGCTTCCTTCCAGCCTCCTGACAGGTGGTCTCCAGTTCCCAGCCTCCTGGCTCTTCCACTGTTTCTGTGCCGCCTCCCACACCCCCCAAATGACGCTTCCTCCAAGTTCCTGTCTCCAACTGGTTTATAGGAAGAAGAGAAACACAAAGGTGAGGACACAGCTAAGCCCAGAGCTACACTCTCAAACATTTTCTCTGACTCTTAACTAGGCCATCGACTGTCAAGTTTCACCAAAGGGTGACATTTCAGGGGCCCCCAGCCCCCAGTGGAACAACCAATTTAAGATTCATTTCTGAAAGGAGGAAATGAGAACTTTCTTTTCACAACTGCAAGGTCACATAATCATACTCAGGTGGGTGCAGAAACCACAGAAAGGATATTAGAGCAGTCACGACACCAGTCACAGCTCCCATGGCAAAAGAGCCACTAAATATACCTAGAAAAATGCCAACTGATTTAAAAAAGGCAGCAGCGTCAAAGGCGTGAGTGTTCAGCCCTGCTGGCTGGTAGGCAACAATAGACCTGGAGTTTAAAGAGAGAGAGAATTAGAAAATACTGGGCTGGTTTTACACCATGGTACTTACAAGTATCGACAAACATAGGTATCTACACTCTGTGGAGCACTCCCCATGGTGTATTCATTTAATTTAACCTGCAGTCACCATATTATGAAGGTATCAGCATTCTGATCACTGCCCACTGGACAAAGCAGCATAACTTTATCAACTAAGTCTATAAACCTCATTTAGAAAAGCACCCAATTCAAAATTTAACACTTTTAAGGTGAGCCTCTGATTTAGCCCAGAGCATTCAGAAAGCCAGAGTCTCTTTTCCCAGGCAGAAATATTGTTACTTACGAGGACAGTACAATGGCAACAGCATCATTTAGGACACTTTCTCCAAACAGAAGTGCGTAAAGGTCCACGTCTGCATGCAATTCATTAAATATCGCCAGTACGGTCACTAAAAGATGGGCCAAAAGTATATAAATTGGTTGCAGTTTCTGAATGAGGAGTGATATGATGCTTGATTCTAACAACACTGCGCTTTCCACTGTAATCCCATCACACTTTGAAAACACTTCTACTACAGAACTTTAAAAATAATCACAATGAATGTGACTTGGCTCTAGTGATAAGTTGAAATCACTTTTTAGGCAGAAACCCTATTTTATTTTTTATTTTATTGAAGTATGGTTGATTTACTATGTTGTGTTAACATCTGCTGTACAGCAAAGTGATTCAGCTATACACATATATTCTTTTTCATGTTCTTTTCCATTATGGTTTATCACAGGATATTGAATATAGTTCCCTGTACTATACAGCAGGACCTTGCTGTTTATTTATTCTATATATAATAGTTTACATCTGCTAATCCCAAATTTCCAACCCATCACTTCCCTACCCCCCTCCATCTTGGCAACCACAAGTCTGTTTTCCATGTCTCTATGTGAGTCTGTTTCTGTTTCACAGATAGGTACATTTCTGTTGTATTTTAGATTCTACATATAAATGATATCATATGCTATTTGTCTTTCATTGTCTTATTTCACTTAGTATGATAATTTCTGGGTCCATCCCCATTGCTGCAATGAAACCCTATTTTATTGATCATTGTGCTCCCAGATTCCAGCATAGGGTCAGGGCACAGAGAAGGCTTTACTAAAGATCTGTAAAATAATGCAAGTCCTCATTTAAGACAGACTATACATAATTACACTTCTCACGGGTTTCACATTTCACAGGTATTTACAATCAACTTTTTTCCAGACCAGCAACTCTCACACTTTTCATCTCAAGACTCCTTTACATCCTTAAAAAATTCTGAGGCTGGCAAAGAGTTTTAGTTTTGTGGGTTATAGCTTTCAATATTTACTGTATTGAGTAAAACAAAAAATTAAATATTTATTCATTTAAATTACTAGTAAACCCATTCTATGTTAACATTTTTTACTGAAAAATAATAATTTTTTCCATAAAATAGTGTAAAGACAATTACTGTTTTACATTTTCTCAGGTCTTTTTAATATCTGAAGTAATGGAACATGGGTTTCACATCTGTTTCTATATTTGATCAATAGGGAGTTACTGTCACAATTATGTAAGCCCTGGAAAACTCCACTCAACAGTACACTTATAAGAATGAATGTAAGCAAAAAAGACTAATGATATACTACTATTATTCTTAAATCAGTTTTGACCTTATGGAACCCTGAAAGGGTATTGGAGTTTCTGGATTTTGGTTCTACTGAAAGTTGGGGCCATATAACTCTTTGTCGTGGGGGCTACCTGGTGTGCCATAAGATAGTTTAGCAGTATCCCTGGCCTCTACCCACAAGATACCAGTAGCACCACACACTCTCCCCTGCCAAGCTTTGACAACCAAAAATGTCTCCAGACATTGCTGAACATCTGCTGTGGTGGGGCAGAATCATCCCCAGTTAAGAACCACCACTCTAATCTGTACATGCAGGTGGGGTTCACTCGCAACACTCACATTCAACTACCTTCTGTTTTGTTAGTTTATGCCATAAGAAACTGAGAAACTAAACTCACTTCTTTAGCTTCCCTTGTGGTGAGTGCCACCTCTTACTGCGTGGAAGAGGGTGAAGACTGGATACAGTGTGGTCATCTTGCCTCCATGGGGCAGTTAAGGTATGTCTGAAATCCAAAGGTAGTGCACTAGAAAGACTGAGTGCCTGATTGTCATGGGAGCCATGGCACCAGCTCGGAGTTCTTAGCCAAGATAAACAGCTCTCTGTTTAAGTTAGCATTAGCCAGACCATCCTGTTATTTGCAACCAAACGCATTACTTACTGATACAATTAGAATACACCCAGATATTTAGCAGTATTATAAACCAACCACTTTTGTAACCATCATCCAGTGGAGGAAACTGCCACTTTGCCAACCCCCACAGAAGTGCCTCACAATATATTCCATCCCAATCTCAGTTCAATTCAGTTCAGTCCCTCATGTCTGACTCTTTGCTACCACAAGGGCTGTAGCACACCAGACCTCCCTGTCCACCACCAACTCCCACAGTTTACTCAAACTCATGTCCATTGAGTCGGTGATGCCATTGAACCATCTCATCCTCTGTCGTCCCCTTCTCCTCCCGCCTTCAATCTTTCCCAGCATCAGGGTCTTTTCCAATGAGTCAGTTCTTCACATCAGATGGCCGAAGTATTGGAGTTTCAGCTTCAGCATCAGTCCTTCCAATGAATATTCAGGGTTGATCTCCTTTAGGATGGACTGGCTGGATCTCCTTGCAGTCCAAGGGACTCTCAAGAGCTTTAGCCAACACCACAGTTCAAAAGCATCAAATCTTCAGTGATCAGCTTACTTTATAGTCCAACTTTCACATCCATACATGACTACTGGAAAAACCACAGCTTTGACTAAACAGACTTTTGTTGGCAAAGTAATGTCTCTGCTTTTCAATGTGCTGTCTAGGTTGGTCATAACTTTTCTTCCAAGGAGCAAGCATCTTTTAATTTCATGGCTGCAGTCACCATCTGCAGGGGCAGTGGCTGCACGGCGTGGGGGCAGCGATGAGGAGATACCCCACATCTAAGGGCAGAGAAGCCCCAGGAAGATGGTAGGCGCTGGAGCAGCAGCTGCATGGTGGCTGCATGGTCCTGTAGTAGCTCTGAGGAGATACCCCACGTCCAAAAGCAAAGGAGAAGCCCCAGAATGATGGTTGCTACTGCTAAGTCACTTCAGTCATGTCCAACTCTTAGCGACCCCATGGACTGTAGCCTACCAGGCTCCTCCATCCATGGGATTTTCCAGGCAAGAGTACTAGAGTAAGTTGCTATTGTCTTCTCCAAGAATGATGGTAGGAGGGGCAAAATCACGTTTAGAATCAAACCCCACACCTGCCAGAAATGCTTAGAGGGCTCAAACAAACCTTGTGTGCACCAGGACCCAGAGACCCCACAGAGACTGAGACAGAACTGTGTTTGAGTGTCTCCTGTGGAGGTACAGGTCAGCAGTGGACTGCTGTAGGGGCAGGGGCTCTGGGTGCAGCAGACTTGGGTATGGCATAAGCCCTCTTGGAGGAGATCGCCATTAACCACATCATAGAGCTGCCAGAACTTACACAGGACTGGGAAACAGACTATTGGTGGGCAAAAACAGAAACTTGTGTGCACCAGGACCCAGGAGAAAGGTACAGTGACCCTACAAGAGACTGACCTAGAATTGCCCTTAAGTGTCCAGGAGTCTCCAGCAGAGGCATGGGTCAGCGGTGGCCTGCTGCAGGGCTGAGGGCACTGAGTGTAACAGAGCATGCATGGGACCTTGTAAAGGAGGTTGCCATTATCTTCATTACCTCCACCATAGTTTGGCCCAGGTAAATAACAGGGAGGGAACACAGCCCCATCCATCAACAGAAAATTGGATTAAAGATTTACTGAACATGGCCCCGCCCATCAGAACAAGACCCAATTCCCCCTCAGTCTGTCTCTCCCATCAGGAAGCTTCCATAAGCCTCTTATCCTTCTCCATCAGAGGGTAGACAGACTGAAAACCACAATCACAGGAAACTAACCAACCTGATCACATGGACCACAGCCTTGTCTAACTCAATGAAATTATGAGCCATGTTGTGTAGGGCCACTCAAGATGATAGGTCATGGTGGAGAGTTCTGACAAAACGTGGTCCACTGGAGAAGGGAATGGCAAACCACTTCAGTATTCTTGCCTTGAGAACCCTATGAACTGTATGAAAAGGCAAAAAGATAAGACAATGACAGATGAACTCCCCAGGTCAGTAGGGGCCCAATATGCTACTGGAGATCAGTGGAGAAATAACTCCAAAAAGAATGAAGAGATGGAGCCAAAGCAAAAACAAAACCCAGTTGTGGATGTGACTGGTGATGGAAGTAAAGTCCAATGCTGTAAAGAGCAGTATTGCATAGGCACCTGGAATGTTAGGTCCATAAATCAAGGCAAATTGGAAGTGGTCAAACAGGAGAAGTGAAGAGTGAACATTGACATTTTAGGAATCAGCGAACTATAAAGGACTGGAATGAGTGAATTTAACTCAGATGACCATTATATCTACTACTGTGGACAAGAATCCTTTAGAAGAAATGGAGTAGCCATCATAGTCAACAAAAGAGTCTGAAATGCAGTATTTGGATGCAATCTCAAAAACAACAGAATGATCTCTGTTCATTTCCAAGGCAAACCATTCAATATCACAGTAATCCAAGTCTATGCCCCGACCAGTAATGCTGAAGAAGCTGAAGTTGAACGGTTCTATGAAGACTTACAAGACCTTCTAGAACTAACACTCAAAAAAGATGTCCTTTTCATTATAGGGGACAGGAAAGCAAAAGTAGGAAGTCAAGAAACACCTGGAGTAATAGGCAAATTTGGCCTTGGAGTACAGAATGAAGCAGGGCAAAGGCTAATAGAGTTTTGCCAAGAGAATGCACTGGTCACAGCAAACACCTCTTCCAACACAAGAGAAGACTCTACACATGGGCATCACTAGATGGTCAATACCAAAATCAGATTGACTATATTCTTTGCAGCAAAAAATGGAGAAGTTCTATACAGTCAGCAAAAACAAGACTGGGGGCTGACTGTGGCACAGACCATGAACTCCTTATTGCCAAATTCAGACTTAAATCGAAGAAAGAAGGGAAAACCACTAGACCATTCAGGTATGACCTAAATCAAATCCCTTATGATTATACAGTGGAAGTGACAAATAGATTCAAGAGATTAGATCTGACAGACAGAGTGCCTGAAGAACTATGGATGGAGGTTCGTGACACTGTACAGGAGGCAGGTATCAAGACCATCCCCAAGGAAAAGAAATGTAAAAAGGCAAAATGGTTGTCTGAGGAGGCCTTACAAATAGCTGTGAATAAAGGAGAAGCAAAAGGTAAAGGAGAAAAGGAAAGATATACCCATCTGAATGCAGAGTTCCAGAGAATAGCAAAG